CGGCCTATCGGTATTGAGCGCCCTTTATCGCCATTGACGAGAAGTCTCGTCGATATGTCTCGGTAGCAGAGGCCCACCCAGTCCAACATTCCATCCCCGACCTCACATTTCTTCAGCACAGCCCGTAGGAACTCGTGGGACACCCGGTCAAAGGCTTGGCTCATGTCGAGCTGAAGGACCGCCAAAGGCTGATGTCCTTCACCACTTGCCTCACTGACGATACGCATGGCGTGGAGGTTTTGCACTATGGAACACCCCCGTAGACCGTAAGCTTGATGGTCGCCCACCACGCACGGAAGTCCAAGATCCAGCCTTCTCGCCAAAATTTTGGCAAGAATTTTGTAGTCCCCAGAGAAGACTGATGGGCCTGTAGTCCGTCACTGCTGGATCAGAGCTGTTGCCTGTCTTTTTTGGGATGAGCACCGTAAGACTTTCCCTCATGGACGGAGGGATAAGCTTTCGCTGAAAGATATCTTGGTATACTTCTACCAGAATGGGGCAGAGGAGGTCCGCATACCTTTTGTAGAGCTCTGCGCCAATTCCATCCAGTCCGGGCGCATTGTTCCCGGACAGCTTCTTGATGGCTCGCCGTACCTCCGACTCCCTATTAAGTCTTTTATATCTTCCGGGACGGTGGCAAGCTCGTGGAGAAACATGTGGTGGGTACTGACATTGCATTCCTGTTTGATAAAGAGTCGTTTGTAGTATAATTCAAAAGCTGCAGCCACCTCTTCTTGCCCGCTCACCAGGTGGCCTTTGTACCGCACATTGGAGATGTGGTTTTCCTGCGCGCGCTTCCTTCCGAAGGTCCGGGAAATCTTCGTGGGCTGGGTCTCGCCCTCTAGGTTTAGCTCTCGGCTCCTCACCTGGGTGCCCCGCAACCTCTCCTCCAGCACCTGCAGGCGTGTCTTGCAGTGTCGAATCTCCTCAGCGAAGGTGCCAGGCCTCTCCTCCTCTTCCTCTAGTATGATGCGGAGTGTGTCTGTCAGAGCCTGTTCTTCCTGTCTCGCCTCGGTTGCCTTGGTATGTGAAAAGGCCTTGGCAAGCTCTCGCAGCTCTTCCTTGAAAGCCTCCCACGTGCAGGCGTCCACCACCCTCCCGAAGTTCTCCAGGCGTTGCTGCACCCTCACTGAGAACTCTTAGCTGTCTAGGATGGCCATGTTCATTTTCCAGGACCCTCTCACACGATGCTTGGTCGCCACGCCGCTTCTCAGCTTGGTGGCAACGAGTCCGTGATCCGAGAAGGGCACCATCTTGACACTATAAGAGGAAACCCCTGTGAGAAGTCCGCCAGAAACGTAAAGGCGATCTAGCCTTGCATGGGATCCTCCTTGCCATCTCGTGTAACGCAGCATGAATCCCGGGAACCTAGAAGTGACGTCCACCAGGTCGTTGTCTCGTAGTACGTCGCGAAGTGTAGTGGCACTGCTGTCTTTCCCGGCAACACCACCAGTCCTGTCTGTAGAGCCAAGAACGCAGTTGAAGTCTCCCCCAAGCACGATGTCCCCAGGGGTGTCCAACATGTGCCTCATCATCTCGAAGAAAACCTGTCGCTCGCTTAGGCTGTTCGGAGCATACACCGAGATAAAACATATTAGCTGGTCACCGATGAGGCAGTCTGCCGTCGCGCAGCGCCCATCGTCACCCAGGTCCCGGTCCACAATGGCGATGTTCCCCCGTTTCCACACGAGCACCGCCGTTCCCCCCGAAAACCTCGTTGTGAGCGTGTGGATACAATAAAAATCATGCCCGAAGGCACGCACAAATGATTTGGCCATCTCTGGCGTCGATAATTTTGTCCCTTGAATCAAAGCGATATCTACCCTTTCCCTATTTAGTAAATCGAGGAGCCACTGTTTCCGCTCCCAGGTGATCAAACTGACCATATTTAGAGTTCCAATTTTAAAAAGCTTTTCCGCGGGCCTTGACTTATGTTCAGTTTGGAGGAGGGGGTGGATAAAAGCTCAAGAAACGCTTGGGAGAGGGTCTTCTGCGGGAGAGGGGACTCCGCCTGGTGGAGAGGGGTCTTCGTTTTTCTTCCCCCTCAACTTCATTTTGTTTGCCTGGTCTTCCTCCAATGCCTGGGTTGCCTTTTTCTTGTTGTTTTTCTTTTTCGTTGGGGCCGGCTGCCATCCTTCGCTGTCCTTGGCTGACGTGTCCTCGTTGACGCATTCCGGTTCTTCGTCAACAAAGGCGGGGGGAGTGGATGGGTTTGTCACTTCCCCCGTTTCCTCTGGCACAATGGCGATGGGAGCCGGGGAGGCCGTAGCCTCTCCGGCCGCTGCTGCCGCCGCTTCACCATTAGTCGCCTTGTCTCCCTCGCTGGCTCCACAGGGCTGGTCGTCGACGTTTTCCATGACATTTGGGAGGCTCACGGCGTGTGTCTCCAACTCTTCCATGTCGGCATTGTCAAGCTGCTCTCCAAAGTGCTCGGGCCTCCTGGCGCTGCGGGTCATGTCTGCGTATGATTGCGTGCATTGTTCCGGCTCGTGACCGAACCCACGACACAGTCTGCACTATGGAGCTACACATTGTCGCCGCATGTGGCCGACCTTCTCGCAGCGCAGGCAGAGGGGCGGCCGCCCCGGCACCGAGAACAGCACCTTCATACCATCGATGTTTCCCTGGTGTGGCAGCTTGTCCGGGCTGACGCCGTCTCCCAGGATCATGGTCACGTTCCTGGTGGTAGTTTCCAGGTTACCGAAGCCCTCTTGTCTCCACATCTCACGTTCCACGCGCTTGACTCGGCCGAATGGCGTAAGCAGTTGTTTGACGACTTCGTCCGATGTCGGGATGGGCACCCAGTGCACCTTCCAACGAGTTCTCCCACACCAAGGCACAAGGCATCTTTTCCCTTTGACGACCAGTTCCGACCTGGCAGCCAGAGCGTCCCTTGATTCAGCGCTGTGGAGGGTCACCATCCAAACGTGTTTGAACTGGAAAGGGCCCAGGCCGGCGATCTCCTCCATGTTCAGCACGCCTTTGAGTGCGTCCCCGAAGTCCTCGATTCGGTACGGTCTCGCCGAAGGGTCCCCGTGCAGAATAACAGTGTTGAGAGCGTTCTGACCTTTCAACAGTTGTGGCAGGATGACCTTGAACTCAGTCGACGTGGTAGCCATGACGCAAGAAACCCGGCCGGGAGCGGCCGTACTCGCTGCTCCGCGGGAGCCCATTTTTGTGCGACCTCCTTCGACGGGAGTGCGCGGGAAACTGTTGCTATGCCACCGCTTAGAAAACTCGTTGTGACCATTCGTTTTATACGAGATAAGCGGAGTGCGTATAGGCCATTTCCGTCCGAAGTACACTCCGGAGTGCGTATAGCTTTACTCCGCAGTGATGCACGCGCCGTACACTGATCTTTATGACAATTGCTGGATCGCACTTCCCCGCACCGCAAATGAGGCCACCGTCGGCCATCTTACGAGATATGCTGTCAAGCCTAGACAGTTACCATGGTTACCGTGTGTAGGTCACGTGAAAACAGAGGCAAAGGTCACATGACCGCCGCCTTGACAACACTTCAGCGGCACTCGTAAGATGGCCGACCGGTGGCCTCAATCGCGCAATGGGCTCGAAGCGGGGAAGCGCGATCCAGCAATTGCCATAGAGATCAGTGGCGCCGTCCGACTCTCTTTTGGACATAGAGATCATACATACTAACTCTAGAGGAAAAAGTCCGCCATTTTCCCATGCATTCTGGCTGCTGCAAGCGGCGGAGCATGCAGGCAGACCCTCGGGGTCCCACACATGGTTACCGACTGCCTTCGATTCCACAAATATAATTATATCATCAGAGCAGTTTCGTGAACTTCAACAATCCACGAACTTACCGGTGGAAAGATATTCGCGTTCCTTTCAAAGCTTTCTTTTTGCATAGCGCGCAAATGTACGGCCTCCCGTCAACACCAAACTAAACCAGATAACCGGCTTCGCGGGTGGCTGCGTTTTGGGAATACGAAACCGCGCAACCACCAGATTTCCGAGATTTCGACAGAAGGGAAGTTAATGCAGCGTAATCAGTATGCTACTTGTTATAAGCGTTAGAATAGCTCAGAATTTAGTTTACAACGTTAAATTATCACTGTTCATATTGCTGAGAGTTTTCAGTCTTCGCGATTACCATTGCGACTGTCGTCCTTCAGCTGGCAACATTGGTTTCTTTCTCTCGTGTTCTGTCGCTCTCTTTCGCGATCTTTCACTCGGGACCCAGGGTGTCGGCGCGCGGGATTTGCCACTCCTCATCCACCTTTACACCCCTGCTTTTGGACGGCACTTGTAGGCGCGATCGGAGTGCCGTCGGACGGCACTGTAGACACGGCCAATAAATAACAAGTTCCGGCCCAAACGCTCTATAAAAATTCGACAACAAAAACCGGTAAAAAAAGAAAGTATTTTTACACAGCCGAAGCACGGATTGATCGTGAAACAGGCATGTGTAAAGATAGGTGAGCGTTTGTCCGGTTACACTGAGATATATACTCAGCTTTTCATTTGTCTACACGTTCTGTTACTTTTTGTTGTTTTTTTTTAGTTAGATATTTAACTGTTGTTACCTTGTCTTCGGCAATCGACGTCCGATTTGTGAGGAACGGGGAGTTGAACTTTCTGTTCGCAGAATGGTGAAGCACGAAGGATTTCCGCATGCTTGCTATCAGGATGTGGCGTTATTACGCCGTTCTACTGGCGGCTTGCGCTTAAAATTCTAACTGCAACACTGGGTAGTATTTGACGAAATAAGATGTCAAACGTGCACCCAACTTTGGCGCGTCTCAAAATGTTGAAGTAAAAAAAAAAAAACTCCAAGTGTTGTAACAACGTTGCCAGAATCTAGATTTGTTTTGCGCTATGTCACATTACATTATTAGGAGCCAATCTAAATACATTTTTATAATAAATTAATCTTTTGATTAATTATAATAAAACTTGTTTTCAATTATTAAATAATAATAAAATAAAAATGACACGATTCAGAACTACGTAAGTGACGCTAAATGCCCTCCGGCTACTAACCAGCTGAGCCCGTGGTGGTTATCGGTTCGTTCGTGGGGCTGTAGCGGCTGTAGTTCTTTTTTGTGGTTCGTTCTTCTGTCGGTTCTGTCCAGTTCTGTAATCAAGCTCGTTGGCATTGCTTGTTATTAATCTTGCCACGTCCTAACGTTATGTAGCTAAGTCAGTAAGTAACTATAGTCAGCGCATCAAGATACTAAATGTGTTGAAAAATGGGCAACACAAACACCTCTCCCTGTAAGTACCCTTGGGGCCCTGTTTCGGGTGTAGCGTATCATTTCGCCCGTCGCCCGTCAGCCACGATTCCTATTACCTTATAAATATCTTCGATATTAGAATCGACGATTTTTGGAATTCACGGTTCGAGAGCCACCGGATGAAATTTAGGCTTCGATCCAGCGTTCGCTCGCCCAGCCTGGCGCGTTCTTCGGCACGGCCTGCTCGGCGGTGCCTCGAAGGCGCAATTCCACTGGTTCACGAACCGTGAGCTCGGTAAACGGTCTAGTGCTAGCCCGTGCCCTTATTCAACGACTGGCAATGTGTGTTGCACCGTACCGATGTGTGGCGGCGGGAACGGAGCCATTTTTCTTGACCGATTGGACTTGGACTTTCGACCCCCGCGGACGAGAGGGTAAACAAACGTAACATCGCGCAACCCGGAACTGATCGTTGTAATTGCACGTGTGTATCGCGACCTATCGGTTTCCGAGGTGTGACAGCAGCTTTCCGGCTGTCAGAAGTATCCGCTGCAAGTTGTTAACGTTGCAATCAAAAGCCGCAGGCCTTTTATCTGGCGAAAATTGAAGCAGTAATTTTCTTCTCTCTTTTTTTTTTTCTTTCTTTTTTTCTTTTCGTTTCGGTGTAGCGGTAGTAGATTTGCTGTTTTTATTTCTTTCCATTTTGCAAGCGAGTTTATCCACGGAACGTCATCCTTTTCCGTCGACAGCGAGTAGTTGCTCGTTTGTGCTGGGTGTTTTGAAGGAGCTTTCTTATGTAAGGAAGCTTTCCTCCGGTATTAGTTTTAGGGAAGCACGCACAGTGGAGATTTACTAATTGTACCACGCATTTATAACAGTCTTCCCTATTTTATTTGGGTGAATGGTTTCTCATTTCGTCCAAGTTAAGAACCATGAAAGTAAATGAAGAGCACAGGCAAGCTGGTTGCATATTGCATATGTAATGACATAAATCACCGCCTGTTTCTTTTTTTTTTTTTTTTTAATTATTTAGCGCAGATGAAGCTCAACGAAATTCGCCTTGCTTGAAGAAGAGTATTGTATGCTGCAAATACCAATTATGTATTTGTTTGGGATCCTGGTGGGATTTTGTTCATGTATCAAAAATAAACTGGACTTGCGTCGGGTGCCTTGCAGCCTAAGATAAAGAAATTCTACTTTGGCCGTAGGAAAGCCCAGGGGTGAGAGTCGGACACAAAGTGCTTCTAGGAAAGAAAAGAAAAGGCCCGAGCTATTTGTGTTTTTAGTGTTGTTAAAGCTTGAAACCAGATATCTCAGGATTCATTTGGCATCCATATTTACAAAATAATTTCTGGAAGCTACCAGCATCGCAGCTGCAACGTGTGAATTTTCGCTTAAGCTTTCTAGCAAGTTTTATACACTGAATAAAATTCTAAATGCAGTGTCTGGGCAGAAATGCACCCACCATCATAGCCACAAAAGTGCCCTAAACATTCATTATGCTTCACAAATAATGTAGCCACAAAATTGCATAAAACCTTTATAGTTCTTCAATAATGTTGAATTTACATTACCATGAGCTGGTCGATTCTGATTGAGTAATTGAAATATCGAGACACCACTTTTATCAGTGAGATACCATTTTATTGTTGCTCTTTCAGTCCTGATTTGGGTGTCTTGTTCTTACAAGACACTTATATGTTTGTGTGAAGGGCAGGAATTCATTGCCAAGGCTGCATCATTGCTAGCAGAAAGCCTGAAAAAAGCAGAATATGACTGACCTTTGTTTGATAGCCTATCCTTGGTTGAAGCCATTAATAAGGGCTGCTATCTACAGATAGTGACAAGCTAGGAATTCAGTAGAAGCTCTGCCTCCAGCATGCGCTCGTGTTTGATAGCCTATCCTTGGTTGAAGCCATTAATAAGAGCTGCTATCTACAGTTAGTGACAAGCTAGGAATTCAGTAGAAGCTCTGCCTCCAGCATGCGCTCGGTGCCTTCTGTCAGACTTTGGCTGTGCTTGCAACGAACTGTTACAAAGGGCAGATAATTTGTGCTGGAGGCAGGGCATCTTCTGAATTCTCAACCTGTCACCAACTATAGTGGTACATCATGGAGAAATGAGGAGTCAAAGATGTTAGCATGTCTTAGTTGCAATGACTCAGAGGCATTGAAACTATGACATACTATCACCTTGAGGAAAAATTAACGCAAGAAAATCTCTTCGAAATAATGGTGAGGATATAAACAAGCGGACAAAGGCCTTTAGCTGGAGGCTGGCTGCTACATTGAATGACTATAGTCGGTTGCAAGCTAAGAAAAAACCGGAAATGCCTCTCAGCGGAATATGTAATCCTATGCCGAGAAACGCCAGCCAATCGTTTTCATGACGTCACGATTCCGTGGACCAATCGCGATCCTTTTGAAAAGAAAAAAAAAAAAAGCTCAACATGGCTGCTGGCTTTAGCAACGCGACGCTAGTTTCTCGTGACAATTATTCTGCTTTTTTGCACAGTGTTTTACGTGCTTGAGGTTACGCCACGAAATCTTAATGGTATCGGCTTGCGTTTGCAGCAGTTTTTGCGCGACAACATGAGAATCCAGCAACGCTATCCCCAACGAAAATTTCGAAGCGGGCGCGAGGCTTAGCACTGCTGAGAGGTATGTTAGACAGTATCTTGGACAGAAAATGAATTGGGAAGACGGTACATTGGACATGACTTTCTTTCTTTACTAAACAGCTATTTCGTTGACAAAAACATATTCTAACTTGCTAGCGAACTACTTTCTCGACAGCGGAGGCACTTCAGATGGGCGCAATGCGCTTGTGGGTGGAGCTAGAAGATTGTTCTCAGGTTGCATCCGACTATAGTATGTTTTATTTTGTTTTTATCACTTCTCACCTTTGACTTGGGGTCACATATCGCAGGATCTTTAGGCTTCCATTGTATCAATAAATTACAAAACACTGTTTGGCATCAGGTTTCATTACTTTTCCCCGCGCTACTGAGCGGGATGTTCTGAGAGGTTCCTTCATTTGTACAGACTTGTGCAGAAGGACACGCATAGCAAGTGTCATACTTTTGAGGAGAAATTGCGGCAAAAGGAACTCGACTTCAAGGTTGATTCATCGCCAGATGCTCATTGTTCAGACCACTTAGGAGTTTCTTTTGTTGCCATCTACCGCTGCTGCTGCAGTTGTAAAGCCATTTTGCATTTTGTTCTGTCTGTTCTCACTTCTTGTTTATTTTATTTTCTCTGACTTTGCCCTTTTATTTCTCTTACTTGGGAGACTTCAGCATGCTTTGCTTGAATATGGAGATGGCCACTACATTGTGGTTGAAAATGCATGTCTTGCAGAGAAAAAGTGAGACACATAATAAGCATGTTTATACTGGGGGAAAAAAAAACAAAAAAACTCTAGACGGGTACACGGAAAAGAGGATGAGCATGACAACGAGCCATTGTCTTGTTTGTCCCTTTTTTTGTTTTCCATTGGCTGTGGTTCTTTTTTTTTTTTTTTAATGTAAGACCTGGCATTAGCTTGCCCATGTATTAACCCACATTGTAGTAATAATACTGCAAATTGGGTGATTTGGTAAGGCATAATTACTAACCAGTGCATAGGTAGACAGTTACCCAAAAATCCAAACACACAAAAAATAAACTCTCACAGCACTGGAACTATCAAGTCATCTATATTTAGTCAAACTTCCTCTTCATCGACCCCAAGAAATAGAAAGGAAAAGTGAAAGACAAGGCAAAAGGAGGAAAGATAAAAGACAAGGAATGGAAAGAAGACTAAAAAAAGGAGGAAAAGGGAAAGACAAGGCAAAAGGAGGAAAGATAAAAGACGAGGAATGGAAAGAAGACTAGAAAAAGGAAGGTAGAACACAAAGAAAAGGAAAGGAAGGAGAATTATTAACACTGCAGAGTCCAAGAGTGACAAAAAGTACAAAAATAATTACAAAAATGAATGGCAAAAATATTTAAACCAGGGCCCATTTGTCCAAAGCGCAGTTAAGCGCTAACCGCGACTAAAATTAGCCTCAGTCCCTAGAAGAGGGATTTTGAAATCATGTGACTGGCTCGGTAGAAATGCGGGGAGCCACGCATGGCCTCGTCGCTTCGTTTGACAAAATGGCTGCGGTGTACACAGTTTCCACGTTCGCGTTTGCGTTTGTCTTCAGGGCCCGTTTGTTCAAACCCGGTTAACTTTTACCGCACTTGAATGTTAACCGCCCTTCCCTACTAGGTACCTACAAGTACCTAGCCAAGTTTGACGAGGCTGGATGAGCGATAGCTCCGTGTTTTATTGTAGGGTGGTAGCTGGTGTCACCTACCGGTTGTAGCGAATATAAGTGGCTTCCGTGGAAAAAGTTCCCACAAAGGGGTACCCAACAACGCGCGCTACCGGGTTCTCGCGATGCAGTGCAGTATACATTTGAGTGGACAAATCTTTTGTTGCTCGTGGTATAGATATTAGGTAACGTAAAACTAAATTCACCCTTGTTTGGAATATTTCTAAATGCTTGGCTGTCTGAATTGGAGACAAGCCTCGTTGAAATTTCCTTCCAATTTTGAAAGAGGACGACAAAGTTCAGATTTAGAAACAATAAGAAAGAAGTGAGCAGTGCAACGTGGGTGGTACATTGGCAGGATGGTTGGCCAGCATGTAAGAACTCTATATAACACCATCATAAATTGTAAAACCTGTAATTCGGCTCCAGTGAAAATAGACCTATTAGTAAATTACCCAAGCATCGAAGAGAACGCTGAAAGTTTAATTCTACGGTCCACGCGCGCTGGCTTTTCTCTTGTAAAAGATTCGAAATAAATAATCATAATGAGGCTTTGACGAACGCGCGTGCAAGGCAAAATTTGTTTCAGACTTTTTGCTTCAGAACAATTACCACTGCAGACGCCAGCACGTGCAATGCGTGTAACTACACTCGTAGCATGCACCTCGATACTTAGGAAATTTAGAAAAAGGCCTATTGGGACGCTGTCTGCTTTTGTGTGCTATCAATACCCGGCCGATTGAGTCAAGGCAATCCACTTTCCAAAAACTTTGCCATGCCGACAATTATCACATTCATTTATTTATTTATTGATACTGCCGGCCGCTAATACGCAGCCAAGGCAAGGAGATATACACAATAAAATGCACTTGAAAATAAAATACATAGGTGTGGTGGCGTTACAACTCGTAGAGGAATAAAGGGCCAACAGATGCCCTTGATAGGATTTTCCCATGCAAAGAATGACTACACAAAAGGATCTTTTACAACTACACGTCACAAAAACACACGTAAACATAAAAACACAGTACAAACCTATAAAAAAAGAAATATCTAAAGCATGACTAGTAGAAAAGCACAATCACAGACAATCAATTTAGGCTTAGGAATGGCCAGAATCTAAAGACTGCCTAAAAAATGTGGCGAGGTCATTGCTCATACTTTGCGATTTAGGTGAGGTAAGCAAAGCAAAAGCCTCCTGCACCATTCATTGCTGACTAACGCGCTCAATATTGCAGCTACAACGACATATTAGTTCCAAAGCAAGTTGCGCTCACTCACCGGGGCACCGCCATGTTTCCCTGCATCCCTACCGAGCCAGTCACGTGATTTCAAAATCTCTCCCCTAGGTACTGCGGCTAATTTTAGCTGCGGTTAGCGATTAACCACGCTTCGAGCAAACAGGCCTGGGTGATATGCTGGCCTATAGCCGAACACACTGCAAAAAAGTAAACACGTCTTCAATTGGCACAGTCAGCTAAAAAATAGTCAGAGTGCAGGCGAGCTGGTGTAAGTTGAACATGATTGTAAACCTGAGACTGGGGCAGAAAGAGAACACAACAGAAGGTAGTAAAAGAGGAGGCATTCATGTTCAACAGTCAGCTACTTTGTCACATATGTTGAAAGGGTGGTCTATTCATTTCCCCTTTCCTGTGGAAAAGAGTGCTTTGGACAGATTGGACAATGTTTAATGCCTGTCTGCATGAGTACCACAACAACATTGCAATGCCAACTCTGGTTACTTTGGCATTCATTGTAGGGATTGTGACTGTCCTGCTCGACTGGACAACTGTGCTGTATTAGGCAAGAGTAAAAACCAGCTCATCCGATATATTATAGAAGCAGAGAACATTGAACAGCGGGTTGCCCAGTGAGTTAGCAATCTGTCCTTAACCTTATTGGAAAAACAACTGCATTATTTAGACAGAAGCTGTATTTGAATGTAGGCCAGTACATCCCCTGGTTTATTTTTATATTTCTGAGATTATTTTTGTAATTAACTTTTGTAACTCTTGGACTTTTTATAACTCGTGGATTATTTATACCAAGAGTGTATTCGACAAGAGGCCAGCATATCAGATGATTTATATATTTTTGTGCTTAATTTTTGTAATTATTTTTGCAATTTTTGTAACTCTTGGACCCTGCAGTGTCATTATTATTCTCCTTTTCCGTTTCTTGGTGTTTTACTTTCCTTTTTCTAGTCTTCTCTCCTTTTCTTTGTCTTTTACCGTTCCTCCCTTTGCTTTGTCTTTCACTTTTCCTTTCTTTTGTTTGTTGGGCTGGCATCCTATTTTTTGAGGTCTAAGAAGAGGAAGTTTGACTAAATATAGATGAGTTGATAGCTCAGCGCTGTTTGTGTATTTTTTGTTTGGATTTTTAAGTAACTGCCTACCTGTGCGCTGGTTCATAATTATGTAGTAATAAACACACCCTGCATCACATGTTGTCGTAATGTGTGGACTTTTGAGGGTTTGCTGTGTAGTCAACTTTGCTCTTTACCTTGTACAGTTGTTGGGAATTCTGAAGCACACAGCTCTGTGCTGTATTGTGGGAGGCTGCATAGTATCTGACAGCACCATTTACTAAACCCCAATTTATAAAGTTTGTGTTGAATGGTGCTTTGTCATTCACTTCTCAAATCCAAGGATAGATCACATCATCTGGATCCTTCTTTCACTATAAAAGCCACGCGTGCATGGTGAAGTGTAGTTCTAAGTTCTCAGATGTGATCCAAAAAATGATTGCAAAAAGTTGTGTCCTTTCACAAACCGAACCTGCAAGGACTCGTGATGGGAGGTGACACTAGCGCTAAAAAGATACGACGATGGCATGCTTTCTAGCTGCCAAAGTTGAAGTGGGGTCATCTTCACATTAGCAGCATTTTCCAGCACAGGTGGTATAGACTGACGCGCTGTTTACAAACAAGCCCCCGTTTGCCCACACCAGGTGTGGGCACTGCGCATGCGCAGAAACCGAATGCCAGTGAACTGAAGCGTCTGCGCATGCGCAGTACCGTCGAAAGCGGCACCGCAGCAGCGTGACGTCGGGGACGCATGTTGGTCTATAGTTCTCTCTGTTCTTTGCCCTTATTCTTTTGGAGCATTCTTAAAATTATATCAAACTAAAAAAAAAAAAAAATTTTTTTTAAATGTATTTAGATAGAACACTGTTGTTTACCTCCCCCTCCCCTTTTACACATGCACAAAAAAATTGCAATATTTAAGTTAGAAGGCTTTTTTTTTTTTTTTTTTTTTTTTTTTTTGTATAGTGACATGCTTTTGTTTGGTGCTTCTTTTTTTTTTGGATAGCGTACCAAAAGAGGAAGTATGTTTCAGAATTGCTCCTCACTCAAATGAGTAACCATAAAAATATTGTGCTAATTTTTTTTTATTTTTTTTCATGTAGGGTTTTATTTTGTGACATATGTCTGCAGCCCAGGCAATTTAAAATGAATTAGGGGTTCAGTGTTTTTGGGAGCAATTCTGAAACATAGTTCCATATGGGGTTGACTTGCCGGAATAATTAGAATTGCTTCCGACTTGAAATGTTACATCATAACTATTGCGCTCAGAAAACTTCAGGGGAAATTTTATTTCATGACATACATGTCCTATCCAGCAACATAAAAAAATAATTTTGGAGGGAAGAGTTGAGTCTCCCCTGATTCCCTCTTTTTATTCAAGAAAGAGGGGGAGCCTCATTCTTTCTGCGGGGAGAAGCTCAGACCTAAAATATTTTACTAGGTGAATATAGGTCACTCCGTGAACGCAGTAGGCTCAACACGGACAGGGTCTGAGACGTTTGGATGACTGGGTAGCTGCACATTTGGTCTGCAGTCAGCTTGGTCACATTGTCCTGATCTTTTCTAACCGTAGAGTATTTTAGCAGGCTTTCAAAATTCAGTCAAGCGGCTATGAAGCTGCCGGACATTTTAGTTATTGCGACAGTGCCCCTGTGTGTAATTAGTTGCAATCCTGCATTACAGCAGCGCAGAATTAATGGTAAGGAAACTGGAGACGCCAGAGGCACGTTTAGCAGGCAAGTAAACATTGAAGTAGTTGATAATGTGACAGTTGCGAGAGCACCCCAAAATGTTAGATGTTAGCGACTTTATTTTTGCAGGCTTCATATTTCATAGGCTTTGCAGAGGCATTTCACTGGGACAAAGGTTTTTGGTTGTGCGACCGGAAGAGGTATGTTTTCGACATCGTACGATGATCAGGGTGTCTAGCGGCTGGGAAAACCGGGAATTGTCAGGGAAATTTTAATTACCGGGAAAAATCGGAGAATTGTCAGGGATATTGTCAAAAAGCGAGCCCAGTCAGGAAAATTGAGCCAGAAACGCCATTGAGTGCCCTGAGCAAAGACTTGAGGACTTGGGGGCAGGAAAATAGGCAATGAATTCTGCTTGGAGCGGAGCGCGGGCTCTGCTCACCTGATGTAGAATGTGCTACCTGATGCGAAGGGAACAGCCGAGAAATGCAGTCCAAGCTTTGGATTGGATTGGATTGAGGGTTCTACAATAGGTTACATCCAGTTAGAGCTACTAGATTTAGTAACAAATGGAAAAGCCGCAGACCTGAATCCAATCCAAGCCTTAAGCCAAAAGTATCCAAAAGTGTGCATCTGGCAACCGTGCTGCCATTCAGTTATTGACGTGTGTGGTTGAGCATCCTGTATTCATTGTGTTTCCGGAAGTGGCCTTTTCACTGACAATGTTGGCAGCAAGAAAGTGCTTGTTTAATCCGGACTTGACCAACCCGAATATTTCGGAATATGCAAGTTGGATTAAGTCCGTGCAAAATGATCCTCACAGTGCTCAATGCCTTGTGTTGTAATTGTCTTATATATGTAACCGCCTCTACAGTGGTCAGGGTATTTCACCAGAAGTTGTCAGGGAAAACCTGGAAAAGTCAGGGAATTTCAAAATAATAATTTGCTAGACAGCCTGATGATGTAATGCACAATTTTTTGCCACTTTATTTTCATGTGTCGAAACTTTGCAGAGGACAATAGGAACGTAATTTATAAAAGGGGTGCCTAATATTTTGTGAGTAATTGACAAGCTGTTGAATAGGTGATGTTGGTTCTTAGACCAGTTGAGTTGAAGCAATATTTCGGGACTTCCACGACAATCATTTAAAAATCTGTTTAAGAGCTCTTTCACAAGTGCACTTTTACTCATTTTGTTCAATAAGAAAGGAATTATTTCTGGTTAAGTAAATATGTACAACAGCTCACTATTTGCATAGCACCAACCGTTGTTCCACAAATGCAGTTGCCGTTTGCATCCGTGTTCCCCAATTTTCCCAGTTCCAGGTTGTTGATTGCTCACATTTCCCAAAGAGGCATTGAGCGAGAAGGTAAGAGCGAAAGATTGGAGAGAATTCTGCCACCGAGGCTGCTAGCCCATGAGGGTAGGTATCGGCGCTGCCATCGCCATGTGTAATGCAAATGAGCCAAGTGGCCTGTACACTCCCTAGTAAAGTGTCTGGAGACCCGTTTCTATGGGGAGAGGAGGAATGGGGAGCAGGAAACTGGGAACCGGTTTTCTTTCCAGCAGAAGACTATTCTGTAGGTCAGCCTTTAAGTACTCCCGATGTCTTGCAGTGTCATCACACAGCCCGGTGGGACGAGCGATTGGGGGCGGCCAGGCATTCTCGAGCGGGCAGCCCATGGGCTTCCACGAGGTGCACGGGGAGAATGTGCGCCTGGAGCAGGGCAACAAAGTAGCCCGGCGGGCAGAGAGCTTCTGCAAGGCCATCGTCTTCAGCTCCCGCCCCGTCCAGGTCAACGAGAAGGTGGTGCTCCGGCTCACCGAGATCTCCAACAGCTGGAGCGGGGCACTGCGGTACACGCCCCGCTTTCACTAATTTTTGTCTATACTAGTGTCTCGTTTGCCGGCATCCTGAGAGAAAGATACAGAGAGGAAGTACAGTACAGGCTAGAAATACGGTATTTTCTGGCTTACAGGCCAGAAAATATCGTATTTTCTGGCCTGTAAGTCGCACCACTTTATAAACGGCTGTCTTCAGGAAAAGTCGGTATGTAAGTCGCTCATCATTACGAAGCGCTGCAAAGGATGGTGCACAGGGTTGCTGCACTAGTTGCACGTAGCGTTACCAGAGATACAGAGGTGAGAATGTAATGCTAGCAGTTGAAGAGAGGAAAAAGGGACTCCCGTCTTACCCGGACTCTTCTTTATGTACCCTCACATTGCCTTTCTCTGCCTAGAAGACTAGCCTGTCACTCTAAATTAGTGCAAAAGCAGCTTTCCTCTCTTTCCCGCCCGTGGCTTCCTTGGCACTGCGCACATTTAGTGGGATGGAGTATACTATGCCGCCACGCTTCAGAATCTTGGGACAGCCGGAATAGCAGGCTGTCAGTGGGTGCTCTGCCGTTTCTCCTTTGTCGTATGTGTTCATATCACCTACATCTTACACAGTCGAGATCCCCACTTATAAAAAAAATGTAATACAAGTCGCGTCGTCATATAAAACGCATTGACGGAAATTTGGGAAAAAAACCAAGACTTATGCGTTGTAAAATATAATGTTATGGAGACTTGTCAGGTGTACAGAGTGCAGCACACTTACAGTAGTACAAATGTGTGATCGCCGGTTTCTGTTTTTCTCAGAAATCAAAGGCTGTCGTCAAAACTACTAGTGTGGTCACAAGTACTCTTTCAGGAAACAAACCTTAGCGGTAAGATTTGTACCCAACAGTACTCTGTACAAGAAAAATGCAAAGAAGTGCAGACATTGCTTTCTGCACTATCTTTGTTGTGCGGTCTGCTTAGTGACTGCTTGTGAGTTGGGCTTTTTGGTTGTCAACATTTACGTGTGATTAGCTTGGGCAGTCCTATTTCGGTAGTATACATGTTTTCTTGTTTTTTTTTAAATTTATTTTGTGAGGAACGCTGCTATGTACAGGCATGAGGGAAAGGGCCCTATAGGAAACCAAGCAAGTGCTAATCTTTATTTGTTTTGCAGAAGTCTTTTTTTATCACAAGCATTTAGAAGAGCGAATTTGTCCATGACTGATGTTTTTATTGATGTTGATTGCATGCAAGGTTCTAGTAATCAGATTTAAAATAATGCCAAATAGTTTACAAAACTCTTAATGCTGAATATTTTTTATTGATGCCCCAAACTAGTATATTCAGTATGAATTTCTCTTTTTCAGTAACTTGCTTAAACCTAGAATATTACTTGGTATTGCCGAATTGTGCAGTGTGTGTGTGCGCTAGCCGAGTGGGCGCTAACGGTTGTAGTACTGCACTGGCTAAATTGCTCATCTACATCCGAGAGACAAGTTGCCCGTCGAGGCAGGCTATCTTCAAGCTGTATAAACATGCAACACAATTTTTGTTTTTTAGAGCGCAGCTCTTAGGCATCTGTTTCATGCTTGAGCGGCAGCTTCGGCGGCGGCGTAACTGCGTGTTGCATTATGGAACGTTTTCCATAATGATGTCACGTGTGACATCATGAGGGTTACCCTCGTGGGGGTTAGGAGGTTACTCTCAAGAGGGTTACGAGCGTAATGAGGGTTACCCTGGCAAGGCTAATGAGGGTTACCCTCACGAAGGTAATGAGGGTTACCTTCACGAGGGTAACGTCACATGTGACGTCATTATAGGAAACATGTAACGTATGACATCACACACATCTAACGTTGCCAATGTTCCCGCTAAATTTAGCGGGGAAATTTTTCCGCTAAATTTTGTGGGAAAACAGCAGAGAAGCGAACCCCCCCCCCCCCCCCCCCCCTCCCTCCTTCCCGAGATTACCACACGTCATTTGAAGCGCCACCGAGAGGCTGTGCTTCCAAACCTGCGTATTCTGCGGAATAAACAATAGTTGTCGTAACATCCGTCTTCCAAACAATGGTACTTCGAACATTGGGAGGCGAACCCTTGAGAGAGGGGCGGTATACACGTGAGAGCAGTGTCTATGGACAGTTTTCACAATGTAGTTGATCTAGTAACATGTGCCTAGACTCACCAGCACTAATTTCTGTTACTTCTGTCCAAGAAAATGTATGAGATGACGAACATTCGGGGAATGGCAGAACTGGTGTAGTTCCTCCCCAGGAACATTGTAGTACGGCTAAGTGTGCTCAGCTGTGCTTTCTCTTGTGCAGGCTTGGGTTCACCGCACATGATCCAGCAACCCTGGAGGGCAACCTGCCGAAGTACGCCTGTCCGGACCTGACCAACCGTCCTGGCAACTGGGCCAAAGCCCTTGGTGAAAGGTGTGCCCACTCCTCTTTTGTCTACACTATGTGCTGGTGGTGATGGTCTGAGAATACCCCAATTTTGCCACGAATATGGTAAAGAATGATCTACAGTCTGTTGCAACGTAAGATCTTCAACAAAAGCTCTGCCTTCAGCGCAAGCTTTTCTGCCTTCAGTAACATTTCAGTGCCTCGTCAGCATACACAGCTTAACAGGCACATGCTAGATGCAGAGCTTCTCCCGCAGAGCATGTGTTGCAACAGACTATGGAATGTGCATTACTGTGAAACCCGTTTAGAACGAACCCACGTACAGCGAATTAATTTCAATATAGAACTCGCAAAAAATTTAAATAAAAATGCATGTAAAAAGTATGTTTTATAACGAACAACATATTGGCTGTATCGAACTTTTTCCCCGGGAAGGCTTCCAAAAACGCGCAAACATTCGTCTTCTAGCCTGTCCTTTCCCCCAAAAAAGAAGTAGGAAAGAAAGAAAATTCCAAAAGCTCAAGTTGCGAACCAAATTGAGCGAAGAGAAGCGATTCAGAAAGGAGAGGGGAAGGAGAGGGGAAGAAAGTTAAAAGAACACACTCTGCACTTATGCAAAAGAAAAAAAGAAAAGTCTTTTTAGCATGTTGTTAGAAGGCGGAAGTGAAAAGATGAGAAAGGAAGAGAAGCTCGCACCCTACAACGAACTCATTGTGGAAGTTCATTGTAAATGTTTTTTTGCTATATCGTACTGATTGTAGCGTTTCCTGCTGTTTGTTTTAAACGGGTTTGTAATACCGTCTGTTTACTCCAGAGCTCTTACCAGCATAATTTAAGATGTTTGTCCTAGTTGCAGACTAATTGACTGCTCTACTTTTGAGGGGTCTTGACAGAATTTGGCATGTACTAAGTGCACTGATCCCATTCCACAAAATAATTTTTTAGATCCTGTAAGTTTGTGGGCCGTACAGTGACTGCCTTTTGCGAGAACAGTCTTTTTACTTGAAAATGCAATCGCATTGGCAACCACACAAGCTCCCGTGTGTGCAAAACTCTTTCGACAAGGTCTCTTCAGAAAATGTTTTTGTTTGACTTTTTTACATTTTAATATTTCTAAAAAATAACAAAAAACATTGAACATCCATTTGATATTCATTGCATGCATACATTTGTAAGAAGCAGAGGTGGTCCAGTTGCGCCATTTGCGCCATTTTGATAAATTCCCCCTTGCCTGCGCCGAAAGGGAGAAATTGCGCCAAACTGCGCCCAAGCGAACAAAGCTGCAAACGAATTGACTTTTGGAAGAGTTTCGTTTTCGTCTCCGCAATCTTCTCGTCAAAATGGACGGCGCCGTGAGTACTTTCGGTTATCCCACACGTGCTTCTAGTGCGTGAACAATCAAATAAAATCGGTCACATACCCTTATTTAGCGTGCATGTGCTGCTCATAGCTTTCCTACCAATTTACCTTGGGACTCACTTATGTGGGGAGTTTTTCGTATTTGCACGTGCTTTCTACGAGCGTCTGATCGATGTCTGGCTGTAGTAAACAATGCTTCCCTGTTCATGCTCTCGAATCACCGCTTTAAAAAGTTTTGCACTACAATTGCGTTTTGGCACCAGTTCGTATAAGCTTGAATTACTGCTGCCCACCTGACTTTGCAGCAAGCCTGTGTTTCTTCTTGTCCTCATCTATGCGCAATGGACTCGGGTTTGCCTTCTCCGTTTTTTTTTTTTTTTGTTATTTCATATTTTGTCTTGGTGCGTATCGACGCTGATCACTTACTGGAACCAGGGTGGAAAAAATAGTGATTAAAAAAGAAAAAAATTGATTTATGTGATTTAAATTAGATTTTTATGATTTAAATTGCTGATATGCTGCTCTAACATTTTATGCTCCTAATCTGCTCCAAGCTGTAGACTTTTTGTGCTCTGAAGTTGCTCCAAGGTGCGTAAACTGCTGCTCCAAAACAAGAATTTTGTTCTCCCAAGCTGCTCCAAAATTTAGATTTTTCTGCTCCAACAATTGCTCCAAAACCTGTTTCACCTGTACCTAACCTGTCTTGCCCCTGATAATTGTATCTGCATCCGCAGACTTTATATCCGTATCCAAACTGCATCCGTGAAATTCGGAACCGCATCCGACTCAATTCGGGCATTCCTGAATAAAAATGAGAAAAGGCATATTGATAATATCTTATAATTAAGGGTGTGCGAATACCGAATAGTAGTTTTCGAATCGAATACCGAATCGAATCGATGAAAAAAAGCCGAATATCGAATCGAATATCGAATAGTGATTTATTTGTAGGAAGTTTTCAAAGTGTGCTGCGAATGAGATTATTATATGTGCAGAGTATGCGCCTGGTACAGAATATGCATATTGTACGGAACAAAAGCTGAAATGTAAAAAAATTCAGGTGAAAAAAAAAAGCAGTTGCTGTTGGACGTTGGGCACTAAATATCCAATTTTATGGCGCAAACATAATCTACCGTAAACGTTGCAAAAAAAACGAAAGTTACAATCTTTTTTCTCGTTAAAAGCACAACCTAACACGGCAACTTTTTTAAAAATATTTGTATAGCTCAGAAAAGGGGCATTTTTGCAATAGTTGGTCTCCATTTTAAAGGGCCCCTGAAAGGAAAAAAAAGCTTTTTAAAGCAGTCTGGTTAGGACATGCGTGTCAAAAAATAAATTTTACATGAAAAAAAAAAAAAAAAAATTTAGAGCAATATTGGTGGCGAGAGATTTCTTTTTTAAATTTTGCGCGCAAATCCATGTCATTCAGCTCGGCTTCTCATTGGTAACGATGGTCATTCAAATCAGCTTCTCATTGGCCAATAGAATGAGTGGCAGCTTAGATGTTGGTTATAAAATCTTTGTGATCTCTTGAAATCGCCTTTTGAATTACATATTTGTAGGTTTAAAAAACAATCCATTGAATGAACGTCTTAATTGTTTACAAATGTTTTACACAATCTTAACTTCCGTTCGGATACCACAACGTACACAACAAACGAAAGCTTCGCCATTTTTTTTTTCTGTCATGGTCGCCGTTTTGTAACGCGTCTCGCATACCTTGTGTATTTCGGGTGGTTTTATAATTTTATTGTGTTTATATGTGAAGACCTCCTGAAGAGGGCTTGTTGCTTGTGTTAGTTAGTCATCGTAGGTACTTAAGGCCCGTTCACACGATGCATCTTTCTCGCGCATCTAGTGTCGCGAAACGTAGTTTCGCGAAATGGTTGCGCCGTCTGAACGAGTCTGAAAAGGACGCGCGCATCTAAAAAAAGTTGCGCGCACACCTCGCTTCTGGAGCGAGCTTTTGCTGAAACTTTGCCGAGTCCTGTCAATCACTCTGAGGGCGCCGCCAATGGCCGCTCAGAAACGCTCTCACGTGACCTTTGAGGGGGGAGCGAGCTGTTTGAGAAGACCACTTAACTGCCGGTGTTGTAGCCGAGCCAAATCCGAGAAAAACCGAAACCACGAACGATCGATACTGCCGGCGCTTCAACGAGCACGTAAAGCGCCACTGAAGGAAAAGTGAGTAGCATATCGGAAAAAAATCCAGCGATGGACGAAGACGTAATTGATGATGATGATAATTCGCGTCTATCTTTAGTCATAATTAAGAAATAAAACCTTGAGACAAGGAAACAAAAAGGGACGTACACAGTACCTTCTCAAAACCAGCACAGCGTACAGCTCTCATTTACTTCCACAACAGTCTTCTTCTTTGTCAACCTCCATCCAAATTATACATATTCAATAGTAAATAAAGTAAATGGCAGTAAATGACAATTCAACAACTAGTAAATGACAATTTAAGAGTAAATTAAGTAAACGGAAGTAAATGACAGCTGTATGCTGTGCTGCTTTTAAGACGGTGGGGTGTATGTCCTTTTTGTTTCCTTGTCTTAAGGTTTTATTTCTTAATTATGATTGTTCACCAGCTCGCCTGCGTTTTGACTCTTAGAATGTGGCGGGAGATGGAGAACACGGCGCTGAATGGCTAATGGTGATGATGATGATGTTGGCTTTCAACTGAAGCGCCACTTTATGGTCAACACCCAAACTATTTTCGCGAGTCTAAACGTCATCGTTGTTGCACGTGAAGCGGTACGTGTGAACGAGCACATCTCGCGAAACTTGAGTGTCGCGAAACTGTTGCGCGCCTAAAAGATGCATCGTGTGAACAGACCTTTAGGAAGTGGCGCGGGGTGACAGGTGTTTGTTTTTCTGCTCTTTTTTGCGTGATTTGTGTGTCCCGTTTACCCCATCTTTTGTTTGTTTGCTGGCGCACGCCAGTGCCAATTTTGTTTTAGAGGTCGGTTCCCGTAAAGCGTTTAGTGAAGGCACGCGGCACTGCGTGTCCTTGCGGCTGCTTGAAGGGTCGTGCGGCTCGGACGGACTTGTCGAGGCACCCGCTTCGCTGCCGTCCGCGGCGTTGCGGGTGCTTCTTCGCGAGCGGTTGCCTTGCGGCGATCGGAGCGGATGCCTTCCGGCTGGCAAGGCGTGTCCTCGTACGGGCGAGGGCCCAGCTGCTGGCAGCGTTGAAGGAACCGACGCTTCAGGTCAGGGTCCATCTTGACGACTATGTACTGTGTGTACGACCACAGCACCACGGTGACCACGGTACGTGCCCGGTATGATGGTACGACATGCGACCGGCAGACACAGGGGCTGTGTTCCAAACCTTACCCAAGTGGGTCTGAGTTACTCTGGCAGATCGTATCACATGACAGCACAGATAGAAAAACGCTGGACGCGGGTAAGTTTTAGAACGCCAAGGGTACAAAACCCTTACTTTGGAGTAAGATAAAGTAAATTTTGGAACATGGCCAGGAAGTAGCAATGGCTCTCGTACGGGGCGCAGCCAAGCCAGCCAAGCAGCCAAGCCGATCAACTACAAAGAGGCGGGGAGTACCTCTCCTCCATGCGCCCGAAATGCCGAGAGAGAAAACAAGTGGAAAGGAGGTGACTACCGCCTAAATTTCGTCTGGCACAGTCAATATTGCTCTAAAAAAAGGTTTTTTTCGTGTAAAATACATTTTTTGACACGCGTGTCCCAACCAGGCTGTTTTAAAAAAACTTTTTTTTCTTTTTAGGGGCCCTTTAAGGAAGAAAAAGGGCACCTGGGATTTTATTTCACATAAATAAACAGATTGGTGTTGAATCGGAGTAAGCATGCTTAAACAATAAAATCTGAAGTAAGAAAAAAAAATGTGGTTAGGTGGCGCAAGTCATCGTCCAACTGCCAATATGCATCCATTTTTCCGCCTCTCTATCCTGTTTTAGAGAGCCTTGAATTAAAAGGGGGAGCAAGCAAAACTGAAATTACGGAGACGGCTCCAGCGCAGATTGGTCGTAAGTGCGCACGTGTTTTGTTGTCGCGTGGAAAGAAGGCAAGCGAACAGAAGAGCAACGACGCCTGCCCTGTTTGCTCGATGCCGATCGACGCTTTCGTCTTTTCGTCACCTTCTCGTAGTGCGTAATTCAAACAAGGCTATCGAACGGTTGGAAACCCTCTCAAATTTAGGCACTTTAGAGCTATTTGTAGCGGGAGCTCGCGTTGCTACTTCGATGCATGCTCTGAAGTGCACGACCGTAGCGGTAGCGGGCCTTTGGAAACAATCTACTAAAACTCCCCATTATTTCTTCGTTTCGTTTCATTCCGAATCAGAATTTGCGGCTTGCGGTTCCAAAAGAATGGCGACGATAGCTCGGCTGGTTTCATCGGCGTGGTTAACGTGTTTTTTTTTTCTGTGATCATGCAGTCGCCGATTTCTGTGAGTGCGGCAAGTGTGTTTTACATCAGCGCTTCAATTTGGAACGAGGGGCTTTACTCGTGAAAAGAATTAAACATGGCGCAGAATTCCGGCTTCCCAACAATTCCTCTCTGGAAGCGGCACAAATGGGATGTTTCGGTTGTGATTCAAGGGTAGATTGTGTTTGTGATGTTTGTTACTTTTTTTTTTTCTAACCTGTGCGTTAGATTTTTGTGGAATGGTAGGACCAAGAGGTGTTTCTCGCATGGTCTAGCATCACGTCGCTTACATCGGGAGAAAAAATGGCTTTTTTGTCAGCTCCGCACCGACCGCGCGTCTTTGGCCGATTATATTGAATATTCGAGTGACCGAATACTGGGAATTTGGTTCGCGAATCAAATTATTTGGGACCTTTTTATTCAATACGAATTCGTATATTCGAGTATTCGCACAGCCCTACTTATAATATAAGCCATCTGCCTACCTTTCTACAAAGAACTTTTTGTGCAAGAACACGGCGAAAGTCATTTTCTTGTATTCTGTTTTATCATACTTATATGATAAGCGATCATGCTTCCAGGAAAATTTCATAACGCTGGAAAGACTCTCGCAGTTATGAGATCGTCTTGGGAGTCCGTGGCATTGACACCCTGTCCAGTAGATGCGTTTAAAAGAAAGGAAATTTATTTTTGCTTTGTAAAACCCGCTTCAAGCATGCGCGTATTTTATAAACATGAAAATTGACAAAGGACAGACTAATAACATTGTGTCATTTTATTTAGGCCAAATAATAAAAAGTAGGAGGGGAAAGGCGCTCGCTCGCCACAGCAAATACTTGTGTATATGTCGTGAGGCGCGAGTACCCCACTGGGAAAATATCAAAATATTCAATATTGGTAACAGCTCCTATCGGTTACAGTTTTAAGCACGAACCCTCAACTGTATGCTCGGAACCATATACTTAAAAAAATTGACGGCATCTCCACGTGGTGAATGATGTTGATTGGGGCGAAGCTCTGGTGGTGCTTGTCTACGTAGACGCTAAGCCGCAGCATGCCGAGCCTTTCGTTCATTTTCATCCATGTCAGAAAGAGAATGTGTGGTATGGAATGTGGTTATATACGCATTTGAGCATTTAACCGCAGCGCCCTCTCGTCTATAAATGTTGAGCCAATGCATGCAAAGTTTAACGCGATTATATACGCATTTGATTGCAGCGCCCTCTCCTGTATAGACGTTGAGCGGCTACATGCAACGTTTCATCCATGACATCCCCAGCTCTTGAGTTACTACCACATCTCAGAGCCCCCTACTCGTCCCGTAGTTGTGGCCGAGTGGTTAAGGCGATGGACTAGAAATCCATTGGGGCCTCCCCACACGGGTTCAAATCCTGTGGACCGCGCAAACATTTTTTTTTTTTTTTTTTTTGTTTGCCTTGAGCACGTGAGCTCACGAGCACGAGCACCAGCAAGATCGATGTGAGCACGGACGCCAAACGGACAAGGCTAGACCCTAAGGAGCTTCGCCCCTAAAACAACTCTGTGCCAACTGTCGAGAAACAGAAAACGCACACTTAGCAGCGTTTCAATAATAATTGGGTTGTGTGTATGTTTATACAGCCTATAGAACTTGGTCTGTCTCAACGGGCAACAACGAGCAAAGAGATGCAAAAGTCAGCGCGACGTGAGTGACCGTTTTTCTGGTGTGAATGTGAGTGTGAATGTGAGGGTGAGTGAGTCTACTTTAGCGCTTCTCCTGCAACATGTATATCCAACTCGCCCAAGCATCCATTCTAAGGAGTCTCCCTTCTGTAGATGCGCAATTTAGTTAGTGCAGTACGACCGCTAGCCTGGAGTCTTTAACGTGCATCACGCAGTAGTGATACACGACTGCACGCCGGTACGATGCTCATCCAAATCGAAACGGGCAGGGGTAGAGATTGAACCCAGGATCCTGGGTTCTGCAGTGCAAGCTTTCGCCCCACGTGCTCCAAGGCAGCGTTTCATTTGTCGAGGTTGTTGTGCAGAAGAAATAGAATATTGTCACCATGGACAAATTGAGTCTTTCGCCTCTCTTAAATTAATACCTGCTAATAAGAAGTCTCTCTTCATTGGCGCACTTCATGCTACTGGGGTGGCATGCACGAACTGCGCTACAAGGATGAGCTGCAGAAACTTGTGCTGGTGCCAGTTCCACCACTCCAGAGGATCGAATTCAGTCTCCTTGATCTACTTGTAGGCGAAGAAGCCACTTGCAGGCTCCTTCTACTTTCTTGTGGCTTGTACGGTTTGGGTTTTCTTTGCACAAAGAATGTTTTCCTCTCCTTCCCTGCCAAACAAGAACACGCTTCCCGAGACGACTTATAGTTCTGCGTTCTTTACTTTTTCTAGGGACAGCATTTTTGTCGAGATAGAATGTTCTAAAGCGATCTTTGGTGAGAATCGAATCTTTCTTGACGTAAAGAACAATTTTCTCCCCGATTAGCACCTTTTATCTCGTAGAGTAGTTTGCCCCCGTAATACATTCTATGATGCACTTTATAGTATCGCTCACTTATTCACTCTATACACTGTACGGTCTCATACGTTTATGGGCCACTTCGGCAAAAATGGATCTGTACCCGAGGATATCCGCATCTAATCTGCATCCGCAGCCCCTGCTATTGGCATCCGACCTGCAATCCGCCAAATCTGATTAATATTTATCCACATCCACCAGTTTACTGCAGATATCCGCAGATAAATGCGGATATGCAGGGCTCTAGTGATAAGACTTTGTATAGTGCCAATTTACCTCTCTATCTAGAGCAGGAGTCTCGTAACCCCAGCCTGCAGAGCTGCTCTGTCTAGCCCGCAGACGGCCGCAGCCCACTGCTAAAAATGCAAAAATAAAAACGTGTGAAAAAAAAAAGAGGTGGTGTTGCGACGCGCTTTAAAAGCGCAAGTGAATATATAAACAAGAATGGAGAAAATCTGCATCAAAACGCGAGGTCTCTCGCCATAGTATTTTGTGTACATTGTCATCAGCGGCATCACTGTTCGTAAATCTCTGTTTTATGTATCTGTAAATATGGTCTGTGTTATAGCTTTTGCATATTCTCATCATCAAATTTAGCATTCTCAGTCTTTTGCCCTGTATTAATATATGCACTTTGATTTATGCCTGTGAGTTCTCTGGGTCACAATTACTGTGTTATAATTAGCTACATATTGCATTTAAGAATAAAGCATATATGTATTCAACCACCTTATATTTTATTTGGTGTTTTTAATTTTTGTATTTAAGTGCTTGACTTGTTTATTTATTATTTCCTCATTCATGTAATCTTGTATATTTTCTGACCCTGAAGACTGCAACAGATCCACAAACCGGCCCCTTAGCCAAAATTTACTCTCCCAATCTAAAGTTAAATTGGTACTCTACATCGACTTCTCAATGGTTATAGTTGTCACGCTTACATCATTCCTGCTAATGTATGTCTACTGGCACTAATGAAAAGAAAACACGAATCTGACATGGCAGAGATTCCCAGCAGTCAATGGGATATTTGATTATATGTGACAGGTTAAGAGTGAAGTGCAGCGTTCGCTTTGCAAAAGTGGAAAGAGGAGGGCGGAGTGTCCACTTGACTCTTCAACTATAGTACAGTATAACTGCTAACTTTGGGTTGGTATTGAGCATCACGTAACTGATCGCATGTATGCATGCTGGCATCACTAATAGGAAACTGCACCGAATTGCTCCAAACTTACGTATGTGCTGCCCCAATGCTGCTCCAAAACGAGATTTTTTTTTCTCATACAAAGGTGCTTTATAACATGATTTTTTCTGCTCCGAAAATTGCTCCAAACTCAAAGCTGGCTGGACCACCACTGAAGAAGCTATTTGCTCCTTAGCTGCTGTAGTGACGTACTGTCCCATTATTATAGTGACACCCTTCATTCCTGTCCCTTCGGCACTCTTTCGCCTGGCGTGCTCTACGGCACGACGCCCCCAAAGAAGTTGCCCGGCGGTGACACACCCGTTGCCTCGTTCGCAGGTATGCAGTGGAAGGGACGGAGCTTCACTACTACGTGAACGGGGTTGGCGAGGTGTTCTTTGGCATCAACGGCGAGGAGAAGGGCCTGTTTCTGAACGGCGTGGACACTCGCACCCCGCTCTGGGCTCTGGTGGACATCTACGGGAACACGACCACGATCCAGATGGTCGGTGAGTGGCACCCTCGTTGCTCCGAGGTGTTGACGGCCGTTTACGTCTTTACGCTGCTCGAGAACCCAGCTCGAGTTCTCGAGCTGGGTTCCCAGGGACCCAGGAGTTCCCCAGAGCAGTTCACGGGTTCCCCAAGCTGCCACATTTTCTGAATTGTTTCTGTCCCCGCAAAAAAGTGTTTTTGCTGTTGAAGCGATGCATGTTTCATTTTTGCACTGAAAGGAATACTGTACATTTTTTGGGGGGGCACGCTGTACATATACTAAAGTGTATGCATGCCAAATTTGGTTGTGATAGGACAATATTAAGAACAAAAATTCTTTCTTGGAAACTGTGAAGCTGCCCCACAATTACATAAAGAGAGAAACTTGTTTGAATGTTACCATAAATACGTAGCCGCACTCTTTCATGGCGGGAAAAAGAATATTTTGTTAAGAGCTTTCCATGAAAAATTGAATCTACTGAAGACTGCAATGGAGAAGAGATGTCTAGGCCTACTCTTTCAACATAAATGTGATGGTGGGCGACGTCACAATTTGACAAACCGGGCGCAGAAAAATGGCTCAAATTTATGCCACTCTGGGTAGCCGGGAGGTCTTCAAAGGCATATGACTAATTTTGCAATTATAACTGGCACTTGTTTTTATACATAAAATATGAATATTCAAAGATAATAAAACATCATAAAACCTAAAATCACATTTTTTTGCAAAATATTGCCATTTTTTTACTTGCATCTCCTCTTAAGGAGAGGGTTGTTGAGAGTTGGTACCCAACAACCTTGCAAGAGTTCAATAGCTAATCAGAAAGAAGCGTAACTCCCAAATCAAGTGTAGTACTACTGCACTGATTTTATAAAGAACATAGGGAAGCACGGGCTCGAGTCTTGGAAGGGAAGGTACAGCAGCCAAGATAAACTAAGGTGCACTGAACCTAGATTTTTTTTAAGAAATGTTTTTGCATTTTCAGATGCTGTGCGCCAGCTGAATAACCACAACGAGCTTTCAACAGCGAACAGAGCCGGTTAGTACTTTTTGTCTTCCGTGTCAGTACCATATTTTCCGGACTATAGTTTGTAGCCTGTGTAAATTTGCAAAAAACAAATTTAATTTAAAAAAAAAAGAAAAAAGTTTTCTTAGGTTGTTTGCATTGGGTGCATAATCTGCACCTGGTGCTTAGTCTGCACATAAATATTTTTCACAAGCAACCATCACCTTGGCAAATGCATTTTTTATTAAGCTCACAGAGAAGCTTTTATCACCCATAAAATTGCCATTCACATCCATCACATCTCATCATTATGAACAATCCAGAAAAAACAATCATGTCCATATCTCTAGATTGTCTTCAGTGCATAAAGTTCCAGCTTCTAAGCATGTATGCTCCGGAAAATATGGTAATCACTTTTTGGTTAATAATGCAGCGCTCGTTTATAACTCGTTGCATGTCGCACGACTGATGATAGGCCTTGCGTGAACCGGTGGTTCAAATTAGTGCACGCGATATGGGCACTACTTTTGCAAATTTTGCCGCACACTGCGACGAACAGCTGCTGTGTCCCCACTGCCGTTGCCAAACCATCTAAAGACTGCTACAAGGCTTGGCCAGAGCACTGTAGCTAAGCATTTGCCTAACTAGAATACTCTGGTCAAACCATCCACAAAGTGTCTCAAATAGCGGTCAGGCTCTTTAAATCGATAGCAAAAATTGGTTACTTAACCTATTGCGCTACGATTTTGTGCAGCGTTGCCCACAGGTGGTGCATTTTTTCTATATAATTTGCAAAGAGTGAACTTACCCGAGGAAAAAGTAAAGAAAAAAGAAAAAGGCTTACCTCCTGTGAAAACGCAGTGAAGCCACCAGTCTTCAAACAGTAGGGCGCCGTTTGGCACGGGAGACAAGAGATGGCGCAAGCGGTCGCGAAGCCAACTCCTGCAAACGAACGAGCATACGACGACAAGAGCCGGCGTAATTAGCAGACAATCTTTTCAACTCAAAAGCGGCCCGCGTTCCGCAAGTGGTGACAGTCACAGAGCCAGAAACACGCGCAGTAACAACAAGGAACTGCAAAACAGACGACATGAATACACCGAAACAAAGTCAAAATAACCTGACAAACCATTTTTTTAGTCAAATATGTGTTCATTCATTGTGTTTTATTAGTAAGGGTGATAAAACTGGAGTGCTAGGAGCAGCGGCTGACGTGGAGGAGCACTTGGCTTAGCGTGCGATAGGCTCTGAAATTATGCTCCGTACTATTACAGGTCTAGCTTTTTTGGTCTTGATTGTAGAGTGACTTCTAATTTTAAGAAGCTGTGCAGAGAAAGAGAAAAAGAAAACACTGGTCTATATTTGAATAAAAACCATAGTCACGGTAGTTCCCGAGTAGTTGTCAATCGAAAGAGCAGCAAACTTCGACTTAACTCTGGTTTCAGTGCCGCTAAAAACCAGCATTACTTTTAAAGGGATGGTGAACCGAAATTTGGGTTTCAAAAAACAATGAGGGAGATGTAGGCGGGACGCTACAATCCCTACAATACTACTCGTAAGGTGATATCTTGAATGGACGGCCATATTTTTGGAAAAAGAGGTCGAGATTGAACCAGGCCGACGAGGCGCGTGACGTAGAGATATCTCGTTTCCTCCTCTCTTCGCTTCGCTCCCTCAAGGCGGCGAGGTGGAGAAGACACGAAACCATTCCTTCTTCTTCTCGGAGAAACATGGCGTGAACATTTCTGTCAAATGTGCCTCCTTTCCTTAAAAAATACGGTCCTCCGTTCGACATATCAGTGTATGAGTGATGTTTTAATGTTTGTAGCATCCCGTTACATGCTTTTGCCATGTGTTTTGTGGAATCCAGATTTTGGTTCAGCATCCCTTTAAGGGAAGCTGAAACGCTTCTTTCGTAAAATGAGATAGAGGTTGATTCTAGCATAGTTTTACCCCGTGAATCTGAATATCACCTTTGTGTTCCCCAAAGATGTAACTAAACATGAGAAAACACATAAACCTCCGATCAGTCTTTACGTTATAAGAGGAGCTTTCAGCCACCAACTGTGTGTCAACTGAGTGTTGCGCGTGCAATCGCAAACTTGCCAGGTATATTCCCCCGCACTGGCACCAGTCATGATGTCTTTTTCTTCCCTTTTTAAATATAGCAAGAGTATGTGTGCACAGCTTTGATAGGCGCTGATGACGCATGAGGGCGGAGATTCCGAAAACTGTTTTTGTTACATCGCGCTATGGGAAGGAGGGCCTTTAGCGGTACTTTAAAAATTATTTTCTGCAGCGTCCATCCACCAAATTAAAAAAGTAATTTTGATATTCAAGAACTTGGAGGTCAAATGAAGACGATTTAAGTGTGTTTCCTCAAATGCAAAAGCGCTTCAACTTCCCTTTAAAGCACAAGTGTAGGTTTACATTATATTTTTGGGTGGTTGTTTCTGCAGCATATAATATTAGAGTTTCGAGTTTGGTGAGGGCATAAAACTCGAAGGACGCATTTTTATTGATATATGCGTTGACAGGTATAATATAATCTTACGGAGATTATATATTCACAGGCTAAGTAAACTTTCAAGTTTAAAAGAGATAGGAGCTTCATCCCAACTTGAGTGTTGCACTAGGATTCATTTTTTACCATTTTTTTTGTAAATGCAACTTACTCTTACCTGAACCTTATTTCTAAAAAGAAGGCTCATCTTCTTTTTATGCCCTTTCTATTCTGATTGCAAAATGTAACAAGTAACACGCTTCACTATCAAATAGGAGCCCTCAATCATTATCAGAGAGGAACCCTCAATCATTATCAAAATTAACTCATTTAGTGACTCAACTACTTTTTCATTTTCAAGCAACATGCCAACAGGTGTTGGCATTTGCTCCAAAAACGTTGGTGGCCACTCCAAACCGATATTTTGCCCGTTACAAAACCTGCTACAAAAGGTCAAATGCCGCTTCCATCGCTGGAACTTCATTTCGCCAAAACGAAGGTTTTGCAGCATTTGCGAGATCAAGTGTACCTACTACCTACAAGAAATGGTTGTTTCTAATGGTGGCAAAACTTTTTCCGAACCAAAAAAGAAAGGACGCGCAAAAATAAACGGGAAATATATGGAGCTGCCGAATATTCCACGGCTACCCGATAGGTGGAGCCACTGTGTCCTCTCACTGTAAGAGATCACAAGAGGTTTTGAGGCAGTTGGTCCTAAGCAGTCGCAAGTGTGTGAAGGAGACTCGAGCTACTTTGGAAGAGAAAGACAAAGAGGTTGGGAACAAGGAGGTTAAGAGATGAAATCCACAAAGAAAGGTTCCGGCCCTTGACTCGTGATCTTGCCTTTGACCTCCCAGGCCCGCTAGATGCCGACCTGATCCAGAGAATAGAGCAGCTCGGGGTCTGTCTCCCGGAGGCTGCGGCCGAGCCAGCCGCCGTCGGTCCCTCTGCCGACGTGGGCCGTCCGCTCCCCGCAAGTCGTGCGGGAAGCCTTACCAACGTGACCGCCACTCCATTTCCCTTCAGCGCATGGCTCCCCCTGGCGTACCACATCGTGCGGGGACCCAATGTCCGGTTTTCGGCGCTCGACAGGTGGGTGTGACCTCGGGTAGCCGTGCTGGGCTTGTCAGCCCTTTCCACTTGGCCTGCCGGAGTGGGAAATGGGAGTGCCCAAACGTAAACTGCAGTCTGTGGTACTGATACTACTGCAGGGATGGATCGTGGGCCCTTTGGAGGGACCGCAGAAATCAGTTCCTTGACTCCTCCTTGACTCCTCCTTGACTGCGCCCGTAGAGCGTCAATCGCCTGTGAACGGTGGATGCGGAGGCCTTATTTAAAACTACCGCTTTTGCTGCGCCTTCTCGGAAATAGTTTGAGGACTAGAGTTTTGGTTTCTGTGTTTCTCCTTCCCTTTTTGCTTGGCTGCAATTTTTATGCCAAGCGTGAAAGTGACGGTGCGTCATAGATTTCTTGGTTTAGTGAAGTTTTTGTTGCCCAATCGGGAAACATTTCGTGTCTCATTTTGCTTGAGCACTTTTTTTTTATATATATATATACCATATTTGCACGAATATAACGCAAGTTTTTTTTTTTCGGAATTACATGCTCCAAAACGCACCTCACGTTATATTCGGAATCGAGTTCAGCCACGAGGCGCGTGAGTCTGGAGAAAGCCATCCCTCCTGCTCAATGCAGGAGATTCGGTGGGAAAAGAAGTGGGGGTGTGGAAGGGAATTTCTTAGCTATTAGGCCACGTGAAGGGGCGAATAAAAAAACATAAAAAAGCAATTTTTATTGCTTTTGTGTTTGTACAACGCGCGCACGCTACAGAAACTCGGCGCGCACATCATTCGGGAATGCGGGCACTGGCCAATTCGAGCCAAGCCAAGCCAGGCAAAGTCAAGTCAACACAAGCCAAGCCAAGACCACCAACCGCATTTACGCAATTGTGCAGCACGAGGTGTTTCTTTATGCAGAGGGACCAGAACAAGAAGTGTGAATGTGTATCCGGTTCAGCAATCTTTTTTCTGCCTGCGCATTTTTTAGTTTCTGATCCAGAGTGGTCTAGTGTTTGTGTGCTGGTGCTTCTGCTTCGTGCCTCGCTTTGCTTGTGGGCTGCCGAGGAGCTCACGCCGAAGAAAAAGGAACTACCAGACAAGCGGTGCCATGTTGCTGCTTATCTGGGTAGTCACTAAGTGGATTGTAAACGGAAGGACCTGAGCAGTCCTGATGAGTGCAGTCAAAACATAAACTGATATTTCTTTTATTTTTATTGACTTTTCACCTATGCTATGCACCCGAGTGCAAGAAATTGACGAGGCCTCGGCTCGCGTTATAATAGTAATAATATTTTTTTTTCTTTTTGAGGGCATCAAAACCTGCCCTCGCGATATATTTGTGGTCGCGTTATATTCATGCAAATACGGTATGTACAGTAATTCCTCCTTATAACGAAATTCTTTTTTTCGAAATCGCATTTATCAAAGGTCAACGTAGTCCCGTCTGAAATGCATGCATTTTTAACTGGATTATTCTAAGTGTATCGGCGGCCGGCCACGCTTATTACAAAGGCCACGGTGCCGAAAGCATGCAAGCCTACACGGGGGTGCACTGAGACCCTTTTGTTCCATCCCCTTTCTCCACTGAGGCGAACTGCAAACAAGAAAACGGAGTAAGGGGGTGACGGAGGGCAGAGCACACAGAGCACTGCTTCCGATGCCGATGCGCTGACGCGGGGATCCAGGCAGGGAGCAACCACGCAGCGTCCACGTTTCGACGCTACTCATGGCGCCCGCGTCCGATGCTGCCCGGCTCCTGTCTGAATCTGTTCAAGAGAGCGAGGGAGTCCGGAGGAGATAATATTTGGGGAGCCCCCGATGCACGTGTCTGCAGCGTACTAGACGCACACGTGCATTGTATGGGAGATTGGAAGTGTTTACCGAAAGTCGCTTAGATCTGCGAGGTTGAGAAAAGTGGCCGACCCAAGTCCAAAGTCGCCAAAGAATTCAACATTCCGGCATTGGCAGTTTGACACTGTCCACCATTTTGCAGAACAAGCAAGGTGTTAGATGGTTCAAGAGGTTTCTCATGCAAAACATAGTGCTGGTGACCCGAAGATAAAACTTGCCAACTACATTGCGACCATCAGAATTTCTCCGCAAGCATGCTTGCCAAGCCGGCACATGATTCCCAGAGCTGCAACGATATGTGCACGAGTGTGTGAAAACATGTTGGCAAAGCCACCAAGGTGATTCATTCGGTCTTGTCGATGCGTACGTTCCCGTTGTTGGTCCTGCAACGGATGCCGCATTCTTAGGCCTTCCGTGTGGCCAGGGTAAACATGAAGCAACGTTGGAGAGGCACGTCGGGGAAACGCTTACGATTGCGGAGACGCGAAACATCGTACGGCTGCTTTGAAACAAAGTGGAGTGCAGTGGCAGTGACTGTGTTCATGAGATACAGTAGCCGACCGATTATTCGGACCTCGCAAGACCCGGAAAATGGTCCGAAATATAGAACAGTCCGAAAAATCAGCTGGCCAGAAAAAAAGACATTTTATTAGGTCGAAACTGGCTGAAAATAGTTCATAATGTTACTTTGCTTCATGCTACGCCTGCGTCCGATGACATCTGCTTGCATTTCGGCGAGCGTCATGTCTTCGCTATAAACGTCCGCCAAAAGTGCCAAAGCTTTGGCAATGTCTGAGGTCGATGGCTGGGCAGGGGCGGCGATGTCGCTGTCGGAGTCTGACCCACTTTCTGGCTGCTGAAGCACCTCACGCACAATGTCTTCATCAGTCAGCTCTGAGCACAAGTCTAGGTTGTTGTACACGTCGACGAACTCGCTGAACTTGATCGTATCCGGAATTTCTATTCCACCATTCCGCAGGTCAGAGACTAAACAATCGCCGGCATCGACTTCGGCGATGTTGTTCTCGGCCGAGTCGGTGTCTAGCGAAGCGTCACTTGCCACCGGCTTTTCGCCAAGACAAGAGCCAGCGTGCTTGAAACAGTTCGCGATAGTACTGGCCTGAACCGCTTTCCAAGCATCTGAGAGCATGCTGACAGCAGAAAGGAGGGTCATGGAATACCCTTTCCTGTTGTCGAAACAAAGAACAGTGCGGCCAAGGAGGCGAGCCCTGTATAGTACCTTCAAGTTTTTTATGACCCCCTGGTCCATCGGTTGTAGAACACTTGTCGTGTTCGGCGGCAAGAATTCAAGCCTAATAGCTTGCAGGTTGCTCACCGTTCCGTGGGCTCCACAGTTGTCGACAAGAATTAGCACTCGTCGCGCTTGACGCTCAAACATTCGATCCAGGCGGCGGAGATAGTCTTCAAAAAAGGACTGAGTAATCCAAGCTTTAGAATTGCTTAGATACCATACTGGCAAGTTCTTCACACCCTTGAAACATCTTGGGTTCTTCAACTTCCCAATGACCAGAAGCGGAAGCTTTTCGGTCCCAAGCGCGTTTGCGCCAACCATAACAGTGATTCGTTCCTTGCTGTGTTTCCCACCACGACTCAAATCGCTGGAAAAGGACAGCGAGCAGTCCGGTAGCATCTTAAAGGGGCCCTCTGGAGCTTTCTGCGATTTTCTGTTTATGTCGTTATATTGCGTAGTAGGTGCAAGTTAATATGTATACAAAGTTTTAGATTACAAAACCGTTTATTAAGCAGATGGCAGAAGAAATATATCGGGACTATTTTCTCTTGGAAGACAATCCCCCATTCCCTGCCCACCGCTAAAACTTGACCAATGGAAATGCTGCATCTCACGGTGAATACAACCGTTATTATTGCAACACTTTTTAAGCTTGTTGTAAATTCGAGTTTTAGAAAAACGTAAACTGATTGTGGTGCGGGAAACGTAGTCCGCAATTATCGCTCCAAAACCAGCGAACTATGTTTTCTTCCCGCAAGCGTGTTGCTAGGGGGTGATGCGTCGCGCGTCGGCTCGTCTGCTTCCCGGGGCGTCTGCAGGCGTGCGTTTGCGGCACACGTGTTCTTTCTTCCCGTGGATCCCGACTCCGAAGCCAGCTTTGCGATCCTTTCACGTCAACGAGTCAAACTTTTCCTTGTCATCTGTGGAATGCGACTGCCTATGGCAGTAGCAGCGCGACGGTGCGGTGCAACGAACGACGACTGCCGAGCACAAAGTCCGGGCTCCTTGACGACGGTCCGCGCATGTTCGAGAGATTCCTCCGCGGGTCGGCGGTCGGCCGCGTTGGTGACGCGCAGTGAAGCCGGAATCCTTCACTTGCTATTGGCTGACGCGTAAAGAGATGCCCCTCCCGTTTTCCGGGGTCATCTCAGAAAGGGGGGCGTGCCGGGGTCTTTGATAGCAATTTTAATAGGGAAATCTGCCGCGCATGACTGTAATTTTATGATTTTTAGGATCCTTGGAGCCTGTAGATTGAGTTACCGCCATAAATAGACCATCGCAGAACGCTCCGGAGGGCCCCTTTAAAGAACAGTCCAGTCTCATCGCAGTTGAAGACGTCCTCAGGAGCGTAATCCCGCAGCAGTGCCTTGAGCTTGTTCAACCGATAGTCGGCGACATCGTCCTGGTTGACGGCTCTGCTTTCTCCGCACATCTTTTTGAAGGAAAGTCCATGCCTCTTTTTGAATCCCCGAACCCATCCGTCAGTGAACTTGAAGTTTTGAATGTCCATCTTGATAGCAAGCGTCTCTGCCTTCTCTTTCAGGATGGCCCCCGAAACTGTGTGGGGATTGTGATCCCTCAGCATTCTGTCGCGTCAGCGTTTTGGCACGCCGTGGCGGCCGCGCTGACGTAGCGAGAGGTGGCGCTGCTTACCACTGTGAATGGCTTCCTCCTCTCCCCCTTTGGGGCGATTTTCGTAACGAACCCCCGCAGACAGAAGATCGACGTGTCGCTCCTTGACTGGCCACTTCGCCCCCGCCGTTATCTTAAAACCAACGGACAGCAGGATCTCGCGCTCTCTTCTTCCTGGGATTCGGCGGCGGCGACAACGGGGAACCGTCTGGCGCACCGGTGAGCGCTTACCCCGTCCTTTGTACCTTTTTGAACGACCGTTCGGCCGTGGGCAATCTCCACACCGACGGCGTTCACCAGCTTATAGCCGCTGTTTTCTTGTTATTTGTTTTATTGTAAATAAACAGAGTTTATCACCGTTACCAACATGACTGGTGTCTGATTGCACTCAAAAAGCAGCATGCCACGCGAGTATGAACCCGCTTCGCGGTAGAGCGTCTCGCCGCGAACGTAGTACTCCCAAAGGCAGTGGCCCAAAGGAGAACCACAACTGGCAGATTTTTCGCAAACACTCCTTTCAACCACAGTTGAAGAGCGTCTTCCAATGCCGGGTGGTCGCCTTTCCGGTCGTTCTTCTGGTTCTTGGAGTAAGAGTTCTGTGGAGCAGACAGTATCTTCACTTTGTTTTTTACGTAGTCCGATATTGTTTGCTTTGATAAGTTAAATTCTTTCGCAACATCAACCCGAGTCTGTCCAATCTCAATGAGTTTAACTATCGCAGCTTTCTTTTCAAGCGTCATAGTAGAATACTTTCCGTGCCGCTTTGAAGTTGATGGTTGAGCGGGCGGTGTTGGCGCCATGACGCCTGAAGGTTACCTGAAGCTTGTGACAGATCTCCAGAAAAGAACGGCCCCAACCAGGTCCGAACGAGAAATGAACAATGGTTACGGGCGTCACGGGGACGCTGCGGGCACCCAGCAAGAGACGATGACGTCTCGCCAAAAATAGGACGTGTAGCGTCACCGAGCGGTCAGGTTCAGTAACTGTACGCCGAACAAGCCAAACTAAGCCAATCCAATCCGACTACAGCCAGCTGTCAAGCCAGTGTACATTCCAAAATGGCGGCTTCCGTGCTACCGCTCCGCGTTGGATACCCACACGCTGCTCGCGCGTGGCCGTTGGTCCGGAAACTTCGTTAACTGCGTGGGAGCCCCCGCATTAAAAAGCCACAGCGCCGCTTGAGCGCTGCAGTTTTACTCCGAATAATCTAACCTTCTGACTTTTATGCAGTCCGAAAAACTAGATGTGAATGTACTCTATTCCTATCGGGCAGGTCAAGGTTCCTCGTTGAAATCCGAAATACCCATCAAGTCCAAATTTTCGGTGTCCGAAAGAACTGTCGGCTACTGTATATGCCTGGAGCAGTTCGAGGAGAACTGATGTCCAGATGAAATTATCGGCAAACTCCCCTTAATTACTTTTTTACTCGGTAGAGCTGCTGCGAGATGTTCAGAACCAAGTTTTGTTTCATTAAATATACGGCCAGTGTACCGTAGTGTTCCTGTCCACCTTCAAGGCTGCTGGCACTGTGTTTTTTTCTTTATCGCTTTTATTGATTACCGCTTGTATCAAATTTTTTTTTGCCGTCCGTCGACTCCGTTAAAATGCGGGATTACTGTAGCTATGTGTACTGGGTGTCGACAACTTTCAGGGGGGAAAAAAATTGTGTCTGATGAATTATATTTTGCATCAGAATCGAAGTCGCTGCTTAAACCTTTGCATCATTCAAACACCCACTTATTTAGCTTAATTTCTACATATGGCATTGTATCGTAACCCTAACCGTTTCTTTGGGGAGAAAAAAAAAAGTAACAAAAAATGATGAGTCATTCCACTCTGTGAAGGTGGATGACCAGTGAAGCTGTTTAGCACACGACACAGACGTGACACAAAATTTTGAACAAAGGTACGAACACATTTATTGTCTTGATTGATGGTCCTCGCCAACCGGCGGAAATCAGACACGCGCGACGGGACCGCCGCCCCGGGAGAGCAGAAGGCAAGGAAACTAGGCACACAAGCGGCTTGGAATGACGACAAAGATGGGGCCGTACGAGCGCAGACATGGCCGACGTGGGGCGCACAGCGGCAAATTTTTGAGAAACCTTATTATTATCTACCCAAGAGTCTACCGATCTTGAAAATGGTGCCTGTTGATAACTAATCTACCAAACAGACCTATTGGTAAATTACCCAAGCATCAAGGTGAATGCAGGAAATGGTGTTCCACATGCCTCACGTGCCGGCGTCTGCAGCAGTAACCATACTAAAGCAAAAAGCTAGAACAACTAGCATCTTGCACGTGTGTTTGTCAGCACTTTATTTTCGTTTATTTACTTCGAATCTTTTATATGGAGAAGGGATGCGCATGCGGCGGTACGAGCGTACAGTTTTGGTTGACGTACATGAAAAATCCACGGAACCCTGGCTATTAACAGCTTCGCTGTAGAAGTAGCTCGAACCAGGCATTTTTCCTGACGGTCTGGAACGAGTTGCCAGATTGCACAACCGGCTGCCGACTTGGTTCCGTCGCAGGGTGGTTGCCGAGCGGGAGGACCTGTCTCGGGGGCGGGCCTTCGTGTTCACGTCGCGCACGGTGCGTCCAAACGAGCGACTGCAGGTCAAAGTGGTCGGGGTGGACGGCAGCTTCTCCGAGTCGCTCACCTTCGGCCTGACCACCTGCAACCCTGGCTCCCTGGAGGACACGGTCCGCAGCCTGCCGGAGGACACGGACGCCCTCTATGACCGCCCAGAGTACTGGGTCTTCAAGAAGGACCTCAAGTGCGGCCTCGATGACGAGCTGGTCTTTGTCACCGGCGACGACGGTGAGGCATTGGTCGACACCATCTAAGAGAACCCCATGCCAGTGAGGGGAAGGGGAAGGTGGTGGGGGGGGGGTATAAAATAAAACAAATACAGTAAACTCTCACTTGAGCAAACATTGGATTGACAAATATTTCAGAACAAACTTTAAAAAAATACCCAGCGGTTTTTCTATGAAAAATTTTCAGTTGAACGAATTTCGGAATAGCGAATATTTCAGTTCAACGAACTTGATCGGTGAACCCAGGATTATTTTCGCAATCAGTTCAACAAAGTTGTGTGCTCTGTATTGCTGGCGGAGCCGATGCCTGCCGGCGCCGCCTCTGCAGCGGCAGCATATCATTGCTGGCGTTTAGAGCGCCACCGAGGCAGAGCGACGGTGTGGTACACGAAAATGAACCTCGTGGTGTGTCTGTTTTAGGGGCGAAGCTCCTTAGGGTCTAGCCTTGTCCGTCCGTCCGGCCGTCCGGCGTCCATGCATACATCGATTGCACTGCCTCCAGGATCGGCCCACTTTAAAAAAAAAAACAAAAAAACGTACGCCTGCACGGGGGTTTGAACTCAGAACGAGGCAGGCGTCTTAACCACTATGCTACACTCCAACATTGCATGTAGCCGCTCAACGTCTATACAGGGGAGGGCGCTGCGGTCAAATGCGTATATAATCGCGTTAAACTTTGCATGCATTCGCTCAACGTTCATAGACGAGAGGGCGCTGCGGTCAAATGCTCAACTGCGTATATAACCACGATCCATACCACACACTCTCTTTCTGACATGGACTGTTGACTTAAGCAGTGGAGATGCATTCCTACGGCTTCGAGCGGATCCAAGCTGATCCGCTAGAAGAACCACTGGCTCTGCATTTCACCGACCATAAAGCAGTAATAATGAAGTCGAAACGCAACCCAGAACCGTAGCAAAAAAAAGTCAGTCTTCTCGCTTAGCATTACTAATTTTCCCCTTTATGTGGACAATTAGGATATAGTATGTAGTGCATTTTAGATTGGATATGTGTTATCTTATCAAGACGTGCTTGTTTCAAATGCCCAAAAGCATCACTTCTTCCAACAACCAAATTTGGTAAGAAGTATTTTGCTCGGCGTATGAACAATGTGCAAAACTTTTTTTTTTTGTTGAGGTGAAAACGAGTATAATGGCAGTGTGAAAAGGGCATCCTTTACTGTTATAGACAGGAGAAGTGAGGAACATCAAGTAAAAAAAATTAATGGACGAATAGATCGGAATGGCTATGCCCCTTATAACGGGCGGTAGCTTGCCTAACCAATACAACAAAAAAAGCTTTTTATTTTTGTGAAGAAAAGAGCAGGATTGAGATGAGGGCTTCGCAGATCTCAAAAATAGCGTCCGCGGAACCCCATCTGAGAACCACCGGTCTATGTAACTGAAAGGCATGAAAGTTTACTTTCTTTGTGTTAGTGTGATTAAATTTGCAGGTGAGACGAGTCTTGTGGCAGGCTCAGCTTCTTAACTCCTTGCTTTTGATGCTTTGCCTTTTATGCATACCTGTGCGCCATACTTTTGTCATATTTTTGTTTGTTTCTTTGTTTGTGTGCACAGGACGAGTGCTGTTCTCGAGGAACAGTGGCTCCTTCGAGACCGTGATGCACGTGGATGGAACGCAGCAGTTCTACATGTTCTTCAACATCTGCGGCTACGTCACCAAGTTGAGGCTCGTGGGTAAGGTGCAGGATTTTTTTGCAGTCTTTAGCATTTTGGTGCAGCACATATCTTTCCCGTCTGCTGCATTGAGAAATGGCAAGCTTTTTTTTGGAAATCTTTTGTTCTAGCTTTTGAAGGCATGGGCTGCTTCAAACAACTACAGTGCAATCCACTTATAACGATAACGAGAAAACCTGAAATTTCAATTCCTACAACCGATTATCGTTGTATCTGGACTAGAATCTAATCATTTCTAGACTAGAAACTCTAGAAACTGATCGTTATAAGTATTACATCGTTATATGTGGTATCGTTATAAGTGGATCACACTGTATACCTCTGCAAAAGAAAAAAAGTTATTTTTTTTTTAAGGTGATTCATTAGTTGTAAGGAAGTCAATCACTGTGCCCGAACTTGGAGGTTATATTGTCTCCCGAAACTTCTTGACTCAACCCTCTTAATCTTACCTTGGAAGGGTAAGCCTTGCCATCGTTTTGGGTTTGCCGACGGTTGCCGACTACGGTGCGTTCTGTGACTAAAACTCTTCAGTAGTGAATTTAGGGGCGTCTTTCAAACCCAAGAGTTTCTGGAAATGCTCGGAGCGCTTCACAATGTCATGTGGCACTATGACGTCGCAGAAGGCCTCTAGATGTTTGCATTTACCCTCTTTTTATTTTTTGCCCATCCCACTTCTACTTTGGGATCATGACGGGATGGAAGGATGCATGGCCCCCGTTCCAACAAAGAGTGCCACTTTTCTGTGCAGGCACCATGAGGGGGGCTCCAGTTCCCAGTGCCGCCGAGGCTCCAGAGGAGCCCCAGGCGGAGCCAAAGGGCAAACTGCAATCCCTCATGCCAGGTGAGTGACCTCAACGAATGTTCTGCCGGCAGCCTTCGCTATAAATTCCTAGAGTTTACCAATGGTCAAGCTTGTTAAGCTCTGAGGGCAGGCAAAATTTCTTGTCGCACTTAAAGCTTTTTGTGATCCATGAAAATATAAAAACCAATATTGCTTTTGGGCGTCTGTTTATCAGGCAGGAAGCAACACTTACGTAGAAATCTATTTCCGTTGACATTTATGGCTGTGGAGAACCATAATATTTATTCAGATAGGTATATGTGGACTTTGTTTTTGAAACTGTTCCTGAAAGTAGAGGCCTGGTTGTAAACAAAGAATGGCGACCTATAAGATTGAGCAAAATTTCAGAGCCCACCAAGCTAATGCAGGTGTTCTTCATGTTGGGTGCTGCTCCTAGCACGCTGATGCGAGGCGGTGAAGCTCGACGCCTGCGCCGCGCAAAATGGGGAAGTTCAATCGCCCGCACCGCCTGCGGTTTGAAGTTTTTGACTTCATGCGATAGGGAACCAGCAGAGCCAAGGAAACTGAGCACAGCAAAAGCATGTCTGAAAGACATGGCAAGATAAATGTGCAATGGGAAGGCCTGAATCCCTCTCAGACTTAGTTCAAGGTCACGTCCACCCAGGCAAGAATTACCAGCACAACTCAGGAGGCGAAAAGGGGGAATTGGAGGGAAAGGAAGAGGGTGGACGTCGTGTTGGGCCGCAGCCACCATTAAACTGTTCAGCTCCCAATCCCTATGGTATTTCAATGGGACCGGAATCAGTGATTGTAACAGTCAGGAAAACATACAAATCGAGAACATACCAATGAGGTTTCACTGTATTTTTTAATTGGAAAATTACTTTTTCACAGGGAGTCCTATCACTCTTGGCAAACCCTCCTGTGCTTCACAAATCTCCCAATAAAAGTGTTGCCAACGACAAGCATTGAACAGGCTGTCGATGAGGCTATTTACTTTGCTATTATGTAGGCCTTGTCCCCATAACAAGTTAAGAGAAACTGAACAGCCTTCAAAATACAAATTTTACTCCTATATATTTTCAGATGGACACTCGTCACTTAATGTGCATAAAATTTGTTGTTACGGAATTTTAAACAAAAACTATTGCGAGTTCATAATGTTGTGTTCATTCCTCCATCTTAATGAGAGCATTTGAGCAGCTACTGGGAATAAATCAAACACTTGCCTGCAGCATTGAACTAGTTAGCATGACAGACTAATGACACTCGTATATTATTGAAAGACTGTCACATATGCTTTATTTTGCATTGTGTACCATTTAAATGCAGTGGTTCTCAAGTGGGAGTCCACAGACCCTTTGAGGTCCACAAATGCAGTCTAGGGGTCTGCAAGGCCCTGCCTCATCAATCAAGCCTAGCAATAATTTTTTTTTTTTTTTTTTTTTTTTTTTTTTTTAGATTGAGAAAAAGCATTTTAAATTTTGAATAGGTTTTCTCATGTGTATGTCAATGAAAGAAGTCTACTTCACTCATTATGATAATTATGATCGAATTATGATGATGATTTATTAAATCATTATCATAATTAACCTACAGTCGCCAACCGATATTTCGGGCATGACCGATTTTTCAGACACGTCCGGTTGTTCAGACGTTTTCACCGAACTGTCACTCACTCCATGGATAGACCAAAATTTTGGACGCCATAAGGCTTGCTCAATATTTCGGACATTATTTGCGTGATTTCCTCGGTTTACAGCCACTAAACAACCGCCGCATTAGCGCCGCAAGCTTAGTCGCCGCCATTTCGGTTGTTTTGATTTTGCCGTGTAGCCTCTATACCACGTCCTATGCGATAAACAAGCTGGGTAGATGCTATAGTCGGGATTTCCGGTCCCGCTATAGCCAACGTGGCCGCCGTCTGCCCATTCTTATGGTTCTTCCAGTTCTTCCCCGTGGTCCGTGTTTTTCGAGTGCTACCGTGAAAAGAGCGGCCATCTGCCGTTCTTGTGGTCTTTGAGCACAAAGGTTTTTTGCCGTTAGCCTTTGTATTGAAGCGAGCTTGGTGGACTAAACGTTGTCTCCAAATAGTGCCAAATGGCGCCAACTTAGCTTCGCTGTTTGTGCCAACAAAGGCACCGACAAAGCTCAGCACCGTGATCAAACAGATCAACAAACAAGTGAAAAGTAAACAATATAAAGCGGAAGTGTCACAAGAACTTAAAATCGACATCAAGCAAGTGGAAAATGGCCAATACACAGCGGAATACAGTCAAGCCCGCTTACAACGAACCCTTTTATGACACGAAACGCGTTCGCTAAAAGAGAAGTTCGTTATAAATGAACTTACCCTTAAAATTCAAGATAAATAAGTAAGCACGGCACGGATTGAAAGCGCAACACCTGCGATCGATGCGCATGGCGTTTATTCAAGGAAGTCCGTAATCGCTGTTTGCTTCCGCAGTGCAGATCCAATTATAGCGCTCTCCTGGTTTTTCAGCTGATCGATGTGAACATCGCTCAGTCCCCGTGCGTAGACCAGCTGCTTCAACGAAGCTATGTGCCCCATTGCCATCGCTGTCAAAACCGGAGGTGAGGGAGCAACCCCATTGCCGACGTCGTCTTCGTCGTCATCTTCGTCGTCGGACGCCGCAATGTCCTGGAAGGTCGGCCGCACCTCCCGCACGATAGCTTCGTCGGAGGCGCTCTCCGAGACGATGACATCTTCGTCGGCGTCAACGAAGTCGTCCCATGTCTGCCCTTCTTCTGTCAGACTAGCAGCAATGGCTTGGGTCCACAGGGTCGAGTCTGTGCTTTGCGCATCGTCTTGGCTTGCTTCCGCAGGAGAAAACGAAATCCCAGCTTTTCGAAAGCAGTTCTTGATGCTGCGAGACCTGAGCTTCATCCAGGAGGCCTTCAGCATTTCCACCGCGGTCATGAGAGAAATTGTCAGCTGAGGCCCTTGCGCACTTGGTCGGCTGATTGCGATGAGCAGCCTTTTGATGACGCGGCGGCAGTAGCACACTTTGAAATTTCTGATGATCCCCATGTCGAGGGGTTGGAGCTTGGCAGTGGTGTTTGGAGGGAGGAACATCAAAGTCACAGCATTCAACTACGGGTTCACGTGATGAGCTGAGCAATTATCCAGGATCAACGGGATCTTCGGTTTTTGCTTGACCATGGCATTGTCAAGTTCCGTGAGCCATTCAGCAAAGAGTTCCCGAGTCATCCAAGCCTTGGCACTGTCTCGGTACCGTACGGGCAGGGGGTTGGTGAAACAGCGCGGTTCTTCGCCGTTCCAATCACAAATGGCAAGTGCCTGTCGCTGCCGTCTACATTACAGCACAGGAGCACAGTTATCCGCACCTTGCTGTGCTTCCCACCGACGCATTTGTCGCCCTTTCACGCGTGCGTTTTCGCACAGGCCTCATCTGGTTAAACAATGCGGTCTCGTCCGCGTTGTAGACATCTCGCTCACTGTAGCTGTAGATCTCGTCGAGGTTGTCAACAAGCCACTGCTCCGCTCTCTCTATGTCCACGGATGCCGCTTCCCCGACGATGGACTTGTAAACAATCCCGTGGCACTCCTTAAAACGATGGAGCCATCCGTTTCCAGGGCTGAACTCTGTGAAATTCAGGAGAAACGCGAAGTCCCTGGCTTTCCCAAGCAGCAGGGGTCTGCTGATGGGGACGTTCTTAGTTCTTGCATCGAGAAACCACTTGAAGAGAGAGTCTTCGACGCCTTTGTACGCGGCGTGCCGCAGCCGTTTCCGAGCACTGCGGTCACCATTCATGCTCATTGCTGCCATGATCTTCTCCTTGTCCTTGGCGATCGTTGAAATGGTGGACTTCGATAAGCCATATTTCTTGCACAGGTCGCCGTTTTTCACCCCGGCGCTCAGCTCCTGAAGGATTGCAGATTTCGTGCCCATGTCGATCGCCTTGCGTTTCTTCGCAGTTGAAGCAATGTCCGACATAACAATCGATGACTCGGCGAGTGACCGAAGACTGAACGATTGCGCGGAGGTCGAGCCGAAATTAAACGACAAGAGGCAACACGCTTCAGACGGACCGAAACACAAAAGACCGCGATGCGGCACCCGAAATAAAGAAAGTGCACAAAAAAGGCTTTCCACACAACCCCAATGCTTCGAGCAGAACGCGTGCAAAACGTTGGGCTGGGAGGCCTGATTGCCTTGATTTCCCTTTCGTTCCTCTTCCCTCCCATCCCCCTCCCCAAGAACCCGACGCTGTCGGGGTGTTGCGCTGCCGGTGGTCCTTCCGTGTTTTGTGCCTCCTTTCCCCTGCCTTATCTCCGCCAGCAGCCAAGGTCGCGGCGCCGTTTCGTTCGTTCTATCCCAGTATTGCGCTCAGAAAGGGCCATTAAAAGTGGGCCGTTTTGTGCAGGATTCTTGCGAATTATGTTGGGGGATTAGAAATTGTTCGAATTAACCGAACGTTCGTTTTAAGTGTGGCCGTTATAAGTGGGCTCGACTGCGGAAGTTTGATATTTTGGCTGAAATTGATTTTTCGGACTGCTTGATTACTTGGACCATTTCGGGGTCCCCTCCGAGTTTGAAAAATCGGTTGGCGACTGTATACCTTTCTCTTCCCCTCACCACGTACAAGGTCCTCCATCATCTCCGCCGATTCACAAGGGGTCTGTGAAACATGAATGATTGAGAACCACTGTCTTAGTATTTAATAACAAAGAACCACAATATAATGATTTTCTTTTACTAGGCAAAGCAGGTAAGCAACGAGCAGCACCTTATTGCAAAGTGCCCACTTTTCCCTGAATTTCCGGCATCAGTTTGCAATTGTCTAGCATGACCCACGGGCATATAAAACACTTACAAAGGTGTAAATTAGTGCCCCATTCTCCCCTTGCATCTCTGTCTCAGTCCTGCCATTCTGATCATTACACAAAGAATGCCTGCTTGGGAAGCCATGTTGTTGTCGTGCCTAATTTGGTGGGGAACTAGCATGCTTTTATTGCTTAATTTTTTGCATGTTACATATTGTAACATGCAAGCAAATAGGCTACTAAAGCAAAAAGCCAAGCTTGATCACTCCGGCAGCAAAGTAGTTGCTGCCGAAATTATGAAGTTTGGCTTATGAAGTGAGTTCCTTGCCAATAAAAACGAGTATTGCATTTGAAGCTGCCCCTACTTTAACATCATGCGTTGTGGCAGTCTTAAAACCATTTAGAAAAATTCATGGGGGCAGCTATTGCCCTTTTATTGTCCCATTCCTTCCCACTCCTCTACCAAAAAAAATAAAAAATTGTGTCTGTGTATGGTGGTGCAGGGTGCGCAAACAGAAACGTTTGGAACAAAATACAGCTCAGTCCACTTAATAATGATCCCACATATAACAATGCACCGCTTATAACGAACAGTTTCTGGAGTTTCTAGACTGGAAATGATCAGTTTCTACAGTGAAACCCGTTTAGAACGAACCTCAGGTACAGCGAATTATTGTCGAGATCGAACTCACGGAAAATTTAAATAAAAATGCATGTAAAAAGTACTTTTTATAACGCCTGTTTTTGGAAGCCTTCCCCCGGGAAAGCTTCCAAAAATGTGCAAACAATTGCCTTGTAGCCTGTCCCTTCCCCATCCACAAGAAAAAAAAAAAAAATCTAGGAAAGGAAGCAAATTCTAATAGCTCAACCACGAATGAAGTTGACAAAAGAAACAATTAAAAAAAGGAAAAAGCTAAAAAAAAAAAAAACTGCACGCACTCAAAAAAAAAAACTTCATCCCAAGGCAGTTGCCTACGAAGAGAAGTGATTCGGAAAGAGAGATAAGCTAAAAAAAGAAGAAAAAAAAAACTCTGCAAGCATGAAAACAAAAAAAAAACATTCCAGCGCTTTGTTACAAGGTGGAAGAGAAGAGATATGAGAGAGAAAAAGAAGCTCTCACCTTACAACGAACGGATCGTGGAAGCTCGTAAATGGTTTTTGCTATATCGAACTACTTGCTATACCGAACTGATTGGAGCTTTTCCTGCTGTTCGTTATAAACGGGTTTGACTGTAGTCCAGGTACAACGATAATCGGTTATAACGGTTGAAATTTCGGGTTTTCTCATTATCGTTGTAAGTGGGTCTCTGTATGGTGGTGAGTGGTGCCTTAGTTTCTAAAAAAAACAATTGATGGTAACTGAGAGCTGCTGTCTGCATCAGAAAGTTAAACAAATCGGTATGAAACGTAGGCTATGTTGCTAAATACTTCTCAGCAAAGCACCGCTTGCAAGGCTTTTACTTATAACCTTAGAGCAATTTTCTGCATTAGATGTTTTTTTTCAGACCCAGTGATTACTGGGTTTGAATTTAAGATAGTGAGAATGTGCAGCTGACAATAGGCAGCAAATCAGGTCAGGTATTTGGCTGAAAGAGGAACATTGATGCTCATAACTTCGCTCATTGCAAGGGCTGGAGATATGCCTCAAAAGGCGAATTGCCCGTGTTTGGTCCTTGAAAAGGAAGCTCCTACAGGAACCAAAGCCGGCACGTTTCCAAAACGCAGAAGAAGCGGATGTGGACTGCCGTATCTGCTTCGAGAGCCCAATCGAAAGCGTGCTGTGCAACTGCGGCCACTCGCTGACCTGCCACGCTTGCGGGCTCAAGCTGCTCAAGGGGAACAGCCCCCAATGCCCGGTGTGCCGCCAGCCCATCATCAACGTGGTGCGCATCTACAAGGCGTAACTACGGCCCTCTCTGGTGGTGGCTTCATCGAGGAAGGCACGCACCAAAAACACGCTTTCATCTGCGCACGAGTTGTCGTGCCACTGCGGACATCTGCACAGTGTTTAGGGTGGCGGGGTGAAGGGCGATGCTTGGTCTTGCGTACTGTTATGCGCCGCCTGCATTCCGTTCATTCTCGGGCTGACGATGTACCGAGAGCTATGACCGCTTCTTGACCCATTCAAATCCTTGCACGATGGAAACCTGCAGTTTTCTCTACACCATCGTCTCAAGGGTGAACGGAATATAGGGGAATTTGACAACTGTGGCGGGGCCATGAGGGAACTGTTTTCTCACCGTAGTAATACCGCCAAAGTCTGACCCATGGGGGCCTTAACAATAAGTGACAAAATCGTATTGTTTATCACTGGGAGAATACTTTGAGGAAACATTTTTGGAATGCAGTATCTTGGGATAATAGGTTGCAGATGAAACATGTGTCTTCACTTGCTTCTTTTTTTTTTCTTTTTTTTCTTTCGTTACCACCACATAATTTTGAATGTCTGTTCACGAAGACAATTATTCGGAACAAAGCTAACTTAGTGCTTAGACCTAGATTCTGTTTGAAGTGTGCAGAGTTTTCGTGGTGGTAAGACGTTTTTATTCAATAGGGACGGAGATACGTTATGCTAATAGTAAATATGAATTTTTAGGAAAGATACCTAGCATGTTTGAAAACAACTCAAATTACCGCCAGCCATCGAGTGTAGGCCCATGCTAAACAAAGTGTTTGTGGTCGAGGTGCATGAGCCGAGTGGATGGGTTATGTCAATCTTTAGGTGTTTTGCTCTTGTACAGTTGCCCGAGTGGCCCGAAGTAGGCTTGTGATGCCAGTAGTGGCCTTTGGGGGGTAGTGGTGTTTTTGTTTTTTTTTTCAGACTCGTTTGCTAGATGTCAGAGCTCATAGCCTACGAGAAATTGTGTCTGGTAAGTAGTCTTCCCAACCAGGCTTCCCCTGGCTCCTGTACATATATAATGTAATAATAAGCAATTCTTATTTTTTGGTGACCGAGAACAATTACATCAATCCTTTGTCTCTTGCCTCTTTCATGCTCTCGATGACCTCAAAAATACAGTTTGGATTTAGAACACTAGCAATCAATATGATAAAGCATGTAGCCACCTTTCTTCACTAAAGCTTATTTTGGTGTAACAATTGGTGATACGTATTGCACGTGTATATCTTATGAGCCTTAGTGTGATAAACAAAAAAAGCTGTTGGCCTTTTGAGTTGGCAGTAGTATTTTGATAACTTTGATGGCGTTCTTGTTTTCTCTCTACATTTTGTTCCATTGCTTTGTTGCTCTGTTGATATACTCGGTCTCACAAAAAGGCTCAATGTGCAGATCAATGAGAAGCATGTTACTATTAAGTCATAATTACTACTACTTAGCACTGCAATATTTTGGATTATGGAACATCCTTAGAATTAGTGAAATCCAGACTCTTTTGTTCACAAAATCAATTCTCTAGTGCATCTGAGCTCCAACGAGGAAAACATTTTGTGTCGTGGTACCGACTGGTACCAGATAGCAACTTTGTGAACTCAAAAAATTCCACCATTTTGTGTAAGTAGAGTGATGGTAGTCTTTTCCAATAACTAACCTTCCAACGAATTGCTAATCCTTAATCCTAATGGCTGGCACATAGCTAGGTACCCTCTTTTTTTTAAGTAGGTGGGAGGGCACACACTGTTACCAGAGGTGCTTTTCCTCGAATGTTCGAAAGCTGAAAGTGCCCGCTGATCTTTTCTTTATTCCTTCATTGTACGTTATTTCCTTTTTTTTCTTTTCATTTCTTTCTCTAAGGGCATGTCTGGGGGGAGGGGAGAGGGGGAATGGGTATGTGCCTGCTTAATGATAAAGTTCAAAGAAATATCCAAATGCTCCTTCACTGCCTGGGAAATATCAGTAGAAATATAATCTGATAGAAGTATCTAAATGTCTCATTAATACCTGTGAAATTTCAGTTACTAAAATATGTATATAAACAGTCGACTATCCTTTTATTGCCTTTTTTTTTATACATGTTTTATACATGTTTAAAACAGCTTTGGCGTGAGACCCTGCTTAGGAGCCAGCCATCCTCTGTAGATGTTTCTTCTGGTCATCCTTGTAGCTGTCTGCAAAGGTAATGGCTCATGATATTCATAATTTTTTGCTCAGTTTTGTTTTTATGAGTGGGTAGGTCTCTAGGGGAGGAAGGCCTAGCGAAATGCCCTCTTGCGCACCGCCTGCTATTTAGTTTTTGGTTGATCTATTTTGCTTGACCTGTACAGCTTTTACTACTGACAGGGATATTTGCAGAACACAAGTAGGCTAACACTTCGTAGATTTCAACATGCCAAAGCTTACAGTTTGGATATACTGCAGAACAGATGACTGCAGCTTGTGGGGGTGGGTTTGAAGAGACTACTGATGCACCTGGAAGTAGCTCCTACCTCGAGGCATGGTCATTGTGGCAGAATTTCTGGCAAGCAATCGACGTAGCTTTTTGTGCATGTAATTTTTTTTCTCGGATAAAGCATGCATTTTTGTGTCATTTGGCTTAGATTACTACGTCCTCGAGCACCGTTATTCCTAAAACATGCTTTGAGCATTGTTGTTTCTGCTGTGTCTGTATGCTGTTGACGGGGCAGTGGTGTAGTGGGGATTTTGATGTGGTAATAAACCTTATTTTTGTTACCTTTCTTTGGAATGACGAATGCTCTTGGGGACTTCAAGTATGTAAAAATTATACATGTGTCATAATGCCGACAAAAGACCAGGGAGCACAGGTGTGTAGTCTTTGCTAGATTTTTCATTATTTTTCTTTCTATTTTTATGTATTGGTTTTAAATAATTTATTTTCATAAAAATTTGCCGCTCCCGCCGGCACGTTTGCATTGAAATAAAATCGTTTACCCTTCCAGACCAGCTGTGCGAGCTGTGCTACACAAGGTTGCCAGGTTGGGCTTTAAGTAACGCAATCTACTCATTTTTGTGGTTGGCAGGGAAATTTGGTGGTTGGCTATTGGGCTATTTTATACCCAGATTCAAATAACTTCAGAGCCATACGCACATCTGCATTTGAGCACTGTGCGTTCTGTAGCGGACGCGTTGCGTTGCGAAGAGCGCTGCGCCAAGCTTGTGCACAGTTGCGCTGATATGCAGTCAAGAGCCAATAAAAACGCGCTATTGTCTCAATAGCTATATTACCCAAGCATCAAGGAGAAGGCAGGAATTGATGTTCCACGCGCCGCACATACTGGCCTCAGCAGTAACTTTTCTAAAGCATATACCTAAAACAAATGGCATCTTGTACGCGCGTTCGTCAACGCTTTATTTCGGTTATTTGCTTCGAATCTTTTATACGGGGAACGCGTGCGCGTGAAACACCAATCCCTGCATTCTCCTTGATGCTTGGGTAATATCAACGTTACTAAAACACTCAGTTGGGAAACTCCCATAGAGACAGCTTTGAAAAAGTGGCCCCAATCTGTCTCCGAGCACCGAGCTAATGACGAACACAACGCCACCATTTCTCCCGCAGCGGCCTCTCGAAGAACTGCACGTGACTTCTATTTTGGCTTAAGAACAGATACAGCGGTAGAGGTAACAAGGGTGCCACCCCCGTCTCCCAGGCGGACGCGCCGCGTTCGACTACTGACGTTAAAATGCACGGCACATTGATACTTTAGACCCATGTTGTTGTAAAAAAAAACTATCTCCAAACTCCGGTCTAAAAACATGCTTTTCGTGCAAGGCTCGTCAAATTATGAGGCGCTGGAGAAATGCAGCCTTCTGCGTTAAGTCCTTATTTCGAACTCTTTTTGTTCGCCTTCCGCCCATTGAAAAGCATGCGGGAAGGGCCTTAGAACGCACCTGGTATCGCTGCGCCGCAGCGTTCTTCCGCATCAAAAAGTTCGTCTGCTTTCCTCGCCGTCACCATGGCAACGAACGCCGAATGAATAGAAGCACGCACGGTACCGCCGCGTGAAGCTAGCAACAGCTGACGCCATTTTACGAACGCCGTCTGCTAGCCAAAGCCGAACGCGGTGTGTCAGATCAACCGCCTCCGCCGGTGCGCCGCTAGCAAAGACGACGAAGCTGAGGCACGCCGACGGCGATCGAGCAAGCAACAACACCACGGGACGACTGCAACGGCGGCATTTATTCGGATCAAAGGCCGCCTTCGCCGGTGCGCCGCTAGCAAAGACGACGAAGCTGAGGCACGCCGACGGCGAATGGGCGAGCAACAGCACCGCGGGACGACTGCAACGGCGGCATTTATTTTGATCACAGGCGCGAAATAAGCAAGAACAATTTTTATTTGAATCATAACACCCGATATCCAAGTTGGGGACCACATACCTTTGCTGGGTCTTTCCTGTGAACTTTTTACAGAGACACGGGGTGCGGCATTCAAAAAACAGCTCCGTTTGCAAAATATGGGGCCCTGAAAAGGGCCGTTTAGACCGCTGCCAGAACCTATAACTGACATAACGAGCACTTGACAAGCGGTTGGCGCATAAGTCGTCTTTATGCACGCAGACGGGTGACAGGCTCAGCGCAGCGGATCCCTCGAAGTCACCGGGGCCGTCAGAATCCTCGCCCTGTCTGCGTCGGGGCTCTAGATTTTGGCGGCCGCGGCGACGAACGACTGGAATCTATCAGTGTTTCCGCGCGCCTTGTCTCTCCTCCAAAACATGAACTTTGCAAGGTGACCAGTGAAATGCATGGTGGCTCTCGCGCCGTCCAGATGGAAGAGAGTTTTTGACGTGGGCCCAGGTGCAATCCACCGTATTGGTGTGCGCACCAGTGTTCGCGTCGACAAAGTTAAGCTTATGGTTGACGGTGAGGTGCGTGAAGCGAGCGTCATCTGCAAGCTTGCGATAGCCAGCCCAACAGTCAGTAATTATTCTTGTTCCAGGGTGGACCAACTCGGCTATTAGCCCTTGCAGGGTTTTAGCGTCACGGGTCTCCACGGGAACAAGAAAGCAGCACCCGCTGCAACGCGCCACACCGCCGAAAACCCACTGGCCAGGCCTTAAATACCCGCGATGGTACTTGTGCCTACCGAACATACTCTCGTCTGGTTCTACAGTCACGGCCGTCGCCACCAATCATGTCTGAATGCTTAAAGACGGCATTTAGCACAACCTCCCGACAAAGGCTCGCCCAATCAGTTATTGTCTTACTTGCGATATCAGCCTCCCGCTGAATGACGGCGCACGGTAGGTTCTGGCATCCGGAGGATGATTTTCATGAGTTGGAGAAGCGTCAGGTGCGTGCGATCCTTCGAAAAGGGAACCGCTTCGTATCGAGACTTCGCCCCGGCACTGAACTTAGACCGACTTCCTCTTGGTCACCTCACGAATCATCCACACACAGCACCCCCCCCCCCCCCCCCCTTCCCCCCCGTGTAGCCATCCGCAGATCTAGCGCGGACTTGCAGCTTGTCATCGCAGCTTCGCACTCTGGACACGCACGAAAACCCAGGAGCCAGGAGCAGGCCAACGCGCTAAAGCAAATTAATTGCTTCAAGAGGGTCTTTCATGGCGCCAAGAAGACGGCACAAGTTGAACACCATGGCACTGCGATGCTCGCCTCTGGAAGAACAAAGCGCCGAGGGGGAACTGCGCGCTTCTTTGCATTTATTATATTTATTTCATCCGCCATTTTATACCTCGTGACACAATTCTAACAAACTCATTGGTTGATCGGTCGTACCACACCATCGCGTGACAAAAAAAAAAAAAAAAAAAAAAAAAAAAAAAAACGCCAAACGTATGTCCACGGACGGCATCGTCACAGAAAAGGGAGCAGTCGAACCCAACAACAAAATGAAGTAACAAAGTGAATAAAAAAAAATAAATAAGAAGGGAGCCGTTGCGGTTTCGGACGGCGTCTTCTTTGATGAGAGGAGCTGCTCTGGCCAGAGCGGCCTGAGCAGCCGTGCTGCTCTGGCTGCTCGGAATATTCCTTTTTGTTCTTTTTCTTACTCTACAGGGTGCCACGACCCTTATTTGAAGCTGATGTGTTAAATTAATAACAAACAACGCGTTGGAACGGACGAGGTAGAGAGTCTTGGCGTCAGAATTTGACGTGGTAGAAAAGAAAAGAAAATAACGAATGCACAATACATACCGTATGCCAAAACCGTTATACTCCGCACTTGGCGAGGCCTTATGACGCAGCCGACGACCGTAAGGCTATTTATTTTGTTTCTTTAGATTTGTTATCGTGACGACTACTCCACTGTGCCTCGGAGTCTCCAGCGGAGATCCGGCAGTTTTTAATAATTATTATTATTGTCGTTTGAAGGGCACTCTTCGTACACTGCTTCGTTTCTGACGCCATAAAAATATGGGGCGGGATTACTTTGCACCACGTATAAACAAAAATAAAAAAAGTTTAGTTCATGGTCGGATTGGTTTGTGGATACAATTAGTCCAATAAAATTAGTCCAATAATTGATAAGTACGATTATTTAGCTTCATTATTAGCATCTTTTGTGTGCATGCGTGAAATACAACACCCAACGAGAAGACACGAGAACAACGCTGCAACTGCTGGACCATAGACCACTTTTGAGAAAATGCGCCGCAAGACAGGGAGGGAGTAAGGGATACAAAAAGTAGACTATTTAATGTCACCGAATTCCTGGGCGGGGAACACTTGGCGGTGTCAGTGTATCGTTTTGAAAGCGATACAAAAACACGTCGGGGACATTGGACTTCTGGACCAACTTTGAGTGCGTGCGCGTCTGATGTGTGTTTATGCCATTCTTTCTTTTTAGATTGTAGGCGGGAAAATCCACACGGGCTAGAGCCTGAGTAATGCAGAGTTGTTACTCAGGCCCCAGTCAGTGTGGATTTTTCGCGCCTATAATCTAAACAGAAATAATATTTTTATGGCGTCAGGGACGAAGCAGCATAGAAAGAGTGCCCTTCAAAACGACAATAATAATTACTAAAACCTGCATGCCGGATCTCCGCTGGAGACTCCGAGGCACACTGGAGTAGTCGTCACGATAACAAATCTAAAGAAACAAAATAAATAGCCTTACGGTCGTCGGCTGCGTCATAAGGCCTCGCCAAGTGCGGAGTATAACGGTCTTGGCATACGGTATGTATTGTGCATTCGTTATTTTCTTTTCTTTTCTACCACGTCAAATTCTGACGCCAAGACTCTCTACCTCCTCCGTTCCAACGCGTTGTTTGTTATTAATTTAACACATCAGCTTCAAATAAGGGTCGTGGCACCCTGTAGAGTAAGAAAAAGAACAAAAAGGAATATTCCGAGCAGCCAGAGCAGCACGGCTGCTCAGGCCGCTCTGGCCAGAGCAGCTCCTCTCATCAAAGAAGACGCCGTCCGAAACCGCAACGGCTCCCTTCTTATTTTTTTTTTTTTTATTCACTTTGTTACTTCATTTTGGTGTTGGGTTCGACTGCTCCCTTTTCTGTGACGATGCCGTCCGTGGACATACGTTTGGCGTTTTTTTTTTTTTTTTTTTTTTTTTTTTTTTTGTCACGCGATGGTGTGGTACGACCGATCAACCAATGAGTTTGTTAGAATTGTGTCACGAGGTATAAAATGGCGGATGAAATAAATATAATAAATGCAAAGAAGCGCGCAGTTCCCCCTCGGCGCTTTGTTCTTCCAGAGGCGAGCATCGCAGTGCCATGGTGTTCAACTTGTGCCGTCT